ACTCCTACTACTGCCCTATCATCTCACTCTTCTCCACACTCTCCCCTACTGCTGCCCTCTCATCTCACTCTACTCCACACTCTCGCCTACTGCTGCCCACTCATCTCACTCTACTCCACATTCTCTCACTCCTACTACTGCCCTCTCATCTCACTCTACTCCACTCTCTCCTACTACTACCCTTTCATCTCAGTCTACTCCACTCTCTCCTACTACTGCCCTCTCATCTCACTCTACTCCACTCTCTCTTCTACTGCTGCCCTCTCATCTCACTCTACTCCACTCTCTCCTACTACTGCCCTTTCATCTCACTCTACTCCACACTCTCTCCTACTGCTGCCCTCTCATCTCACTCTACTCCACACTCTCTCCTACTGCTGCCCTCTCATCTCACTCCACTCCACACTCTCTCCTACTACTGCTCTCTTATCTCACTCTACTCCACACTCTCCCCTACTACTGCTGCCCTCTCATCTCACTCTACTCCACTCTCCTACAAGTGCCCTCTCATCTCACTCTACTCCACTCTCTCTCCTACTACTGCTGCCCTCTCATCTCACTCTACTCCACACTCTCTTCTACTACTGCCCTCTCATCTCTACTCAACACTCACTCCTACTACTGCCCTATCATCTCACTCTTCTCCACACTCTCCCCTACTGCTGCCCTCTCATCTCACTCTACTCCACACTCTCGCCTACTGCTGCCCACTCATCTCACTCTACTCCACATTCTCTCACTCCTACTACTGCCCTCTCATCTCACTCTACTCCACTCTCTTCTACTACTGCCCTCTCATCTCACTCTACTCCACTCTCTCCTACTACTGCCCTCTCATCTCACTCTACTCCACTCTCACTCCTACTACTGCCTTCTCATCTCACTCTACTCCACACTCTCTCCTACTACTGCTGCCCACTCATCTCACTCTACTCCACTCTCTCTTCTACTGCTGCCCTTTCATCTCACTCTACTCCACACTCTCTCTTCTACTGCTGCCCTTTCATCCCACTCTCCTCCACTCTCTCCTACTACTGCCCTTTCATCTCACTCTACTCCACACTCTCTCCTAATACTCCCCTCTCATCTCACTCTACTCTCTCTTCTACTGCTGCCCTTTCATCTCACTCTACTCCACCCTCTCCTACTACTGCCTTCTCACCTCACTCTACTCCACTCTCTTCTACTGCTGCCCTTTCATCTCACTCTACTCCACTCTCTCCTACTACTCCCCTTTCATCTCACTCTACTCCACACTCTCTCCTACTACTGCCCTCTCATCTCACTCTCTCCTACTGCTGCCCTTTCATCTCACTCTACTCCACACTCACTCCTACTACTGCTGCCCTATCATCTCACTCTTCTCCACACTCTCCCCTACTACTGCCCTATGATCTCACTCTACTCCACACTCTCCCCTACTACTGCTGCCCTCTCATCTCACTCTACTCCACTCTCTCCTACTACTGCCCTCTCATCTCACTCTACTCCACTCTCTCTTCTACTGCTGCCCTCTTATCTCACTCTACTCCACTCTCTCCTACTACTGCCCTCTCATTTCACTCTACTCCACACTCTACTCCTACTCATTTAACTTAACTTACATCCATGCACTATCCCAGTCAGCGTTCACTCAGTGGGAAGTCGCTCATTCTCCTGACAACCCCGGTCTGGAACTCTCTTCCCTCAGCCATTCGTGTTGTCAAATCCCTGCCCCTGTTGACATCCAGGCTCAATACTTTCTTCTCCTCCTCTGCCCTTACCCGACTGCCTCACTCTCGCTATGAAACACATTTCCCCACTGTTCCTCCAGTGTCTTTAGATGTCATCACTCATAGAAACGATATATAAATCCAAATTGCATTGCATTGCTGCCGTGAAATATTCTGGTATATGGTGAGTTTGATCATGTCAAGCCTCTGGGCCTTCATTCCACAAACTATATTGGTCCTGAAATTTTTACTTTAAACTTTCGTTACTGCAGGAATTCATTTTCTTTGGTTCTTTCGGTAAAGTCACGTAAATAGAAAAAAATAAAAATAAAGTGAATAAAAATACCACGACGTTTCGATTGCAACACAAGCGGTCGTCATCAGGAAAATAATATAGATTGGTCCTGATTACGTATGCTTGCTCTTCCACCTTGTCAGTAAACTTCACTCAATTTTAAATTTTTGGAAAAGTAATTCCATCAAAGTAATCTGCAGAGTTATTGGCGACATTGTGCCGGGCGAAATTAAACTTCGACCACGGTCGCCAACCGTTATGTGCTTCATCTTGTGTTGAGTATAAATGGACCCTTACCCTTCCCTACATCAGCTCACTGTGGAAGCAGAAGACGCTTCGAATTTTGTGGAGGACTTTCGAGCACACATCTTTCAGAATGGAGGTGAAAACGCGTCGGCGTGACTTTCACGAAAATGGCTCTCCAAGCCCACTCGGCGATCTCTTCAGAGGCTACGCCCCCCCCCCCCCCCCGCATTAAACGATTGACGCAATGCCAATGTTGGTGGAAAGTTGTCAGTTTTAGGGTCCACCTGAGTTCCACTCAAACTTTGCCCCATTTTACAAATTCTCTGGAGCAGAGGAACGTGTTGCTCCGATGGTGGAATGAGCAACCACTGTTGGGAAGTCAACAGCGGTTGTCATTTGGAGACTCACCCCCCCCCCCCTCCCGTCATAGGAATGTGGAATTTCAAATACTGGCTCAGGTTTTTTAAACAGGTGAGCACTGCCTGAATGCTCATTTGAGCAGGACATCGTTTTGAATGGTGGAAATGTATTATTACTGTCACCATTCCTGCATCTCCGATTAACATGGTTGGCTACGTATGGTGCGAAATAAGTTCAACATACATACATTATTTACAGCCCTTTATCAAGCACCTGCTGGATGAAGGCCTTCCCACACCGTGCCACCTGTGGAGGTTGTTTGACCATACTTCACCATGCCGGTCGGTGCAGGTCGACAAAAGAGGGAATGGCAGAAATGGCTGTTGTATAATTCCATAAAGTGGCACCAGGCCGTCGTTCTGCCAAAGCGTTTAGGAATGACAGCCAAAAAACTCTCCTGGAATTGGACTCATTACCTTTATTCGGTCTTGCATATCAAAGTCGTTGATTATAAAGTAGAAAGATAACACCGCGGTAGTGCAGCACAGAACGGTCCTCACCCAACACATTTCTAGGAAACTGTTTTTCCTAAAATGTAATGTTAAAGGCACCTCAGGAACAGGCAATGAATCATAAAATGTGCATTCCATACCCACACACAGGTTACCCTTGCACTGATTACCTCCAAGAACCGATCCAAACTTCATCATATCAAAGCAGTCGGCAGAAATGATTGTGGTATTAACATTTTCTGTATTTAAAGGGATTAAGCGAGAGTTGAGAATAATGCTCTTTGGTTCTTCAAATCAAGTTTTCAGAATGGGTAAAAAAAACCGTAAAACGCATCCACAATTCCATTATTCTCAACGTCTGATATCTACACGGTGGTCCCACCAAATTACAATTCATCTCACTGCCTCTTAGTTTCGCCATTAAAGTCACAGATCTACAATTAGGAAAAATTAACCAGTTATCTATGTTTTGGTGCAGAAAATAATAGTAATAATAAACGTCGGGAAATTGTGTTTCCATTGTCCACGATTACGTGGTAACGTGTAACATGTTTACATGGTAGTGTGTAACATGTGTACATGGTAACGTGTAACATGTGTACATGGTAACGTGTAACATGTGTATATGGTAACGTGTAACATGTGTACATGGTAATGTGTAACATGTGTACAATGCCACAATACAATGTCCATTATTGTGGCGCCTTGCATTCTACGTTTGTTGAACTTCTTTCACACTGTGCACAGCCAACCGTTTGCTAATTGGAGGTGCAGGAGCAGGACAACAAAATGGACTCGATGACCAGATTGGAAAGATATTTTATATTCTAAATATGTAAATAAATAACATTGATAAAGAAGTTTTTTGTTAATGATACGACTATTAAGGATACGACATAACCTTTCTGGTTTATAGGCGATGGGCCACAGAGCTACGCGTTTGCCTATGTGTTGTGAAGAAGGGTCATTCCCTGAAACGTCACCTATGACGTGTTATTGACCAATATGCTGAGTTATTTTGTTGTTATTTGAGCGTGTGCACCACTGCCAATGCAGTCTTACCAGATCAATTGTTCACTGCACAGGGACTTGCCATCTCCTGCCGAGAATGTTTACTTTACAGGTCTTTAGGCTGTCATTTCCTTTTTTTATGGAGACCTAACAGTGATGAGAGTTGTTTTGTGCGATAGCATTGTAACGAAGACCACACATCATATATTGAGTAAATTGAATCGACCATTTGCACCGTAATATCACATTTCCGTTAATATAGTGTCCATTAATACTCAAACGAGCATTGATTGGTGCTCATTTATATTGGCCGCACTGAGCAAAGGATAACACTCTGGCCATGGAGTCCATTAAGGAAGCCTACATTTCGAGACATCAAAGGGCTAAAGCCATATACCTGGAAAACGTCAGACTTAAAAAAATCATGTAAAACAACATCTTCATCATCGGTTATATTCATCCTTTCAAATGATAAACTGAGAATAGGTTTTCCCCTTTTTTCTAGCAACAAAACAGGTGTTAAGATGTTAAAACACCAAACTGAAATCTTTTACAAGGAATCATGTTTGCATTAACCACAATACTTGTGGTGAGAATGCAAAAAAAAGTGCTCCGATAATATATGTGGCATTGTCTTTGAACCTGATTGGTCCACACCAGCGACATCTTTCTTTTGAGCCTCGTCTCAAAACGGTGTTAGACCAGAGGACGCCAAAAGGCGTACAGCACAAAGACAATGCACTATCAGAGTAATGCAGGCATGATTCCTTGTAAAAAGGTTTCAGTTTGGTGTTTTAACATCTTAACACCTGTTTTGTTGCCAAAAAAAAGGAGAAAACCTCTTCTCATATTTTGGTACTGGCAAAGGAGGTCCCATGATAAATTATAAACTGCCAACATCATTAAAAAATCATTTTTATTTCTCTTTGGCTCTTATTTTTCCTACCGGCTCTTTCTCCGATACCTCTCTTCTTTTGATTCATGACAACTTGAGACTGCGAAAGGTGCCTCATGAGTGCAAATTACAATTATTTTGTGATTATATTGACTTAAAGCTTTCGTGACTGCAGGAATTCATATTCTTGGGTCTTTCGGTGAAGATCGGTGTAGATAGGTTCAAAGAAAATAACAAAACCTATCTACGTGACTTTACCGAAGGACCCAATAATATTATTACATTACATTATTTTAATTTATATAGTGCCTTAATCAAGGCGCTAAACAAGCAATTCTCAATTTGTACGTTTAAACGGCGTGATGAGATGCGATGAGTTAATGAGGATAGAGTGCATGATGAATATGATGATGCTTGAATTAAACGGTGATGAAAGTGACAGCGAGTGGGTCATGATGATGATGAATGCGTAAGGAAGTTGGGAAGAGGGATAGAGTTACCGATGGGGAAGGGAGGGGGGAAGGGGAGTTTGGGTAAGCAAGGGAAAATCAGCGAGTGAGTTTTAAGGGAAGAACGATGAATAGACCGTGAGGCTGATTGTTTGACACGTCAGGTCAGCTTGTTCTAGTGTAAAGAGGCCAGAAGCGAGGAAGAAGGGAATGGTGATTGGGTACGAGGAGGAGGGGGAACGGACAGAGCTGGGATTGTGAATACAGAGGACGAGAAGGAGAGAAGAGCGAGATGCGGGAAACGAAAAACTTGTAAACTAGAGTGAGGAATTTGAAATCCGGTGTAGCTGGACGAGGAGAGGTGTGTGTGGGAGTGGTAGGGGGTGATTAAAAATGATCCGGGCAGCAGCATTTTGGATTTGTTTAAGTGGTTTCATTGCATAGGAGGGAAGACCGAGCGTGAGGGAGTTGCAGCAATCGAGTGGAGTGAAAATAAGGGAGTGAGTTTAAAGTTTTGCGGCCGTAGTTGAAGAACCTTTGTCAGCTCCACTTTCCGGCCAATGATACCCAGCTTCTGATTCACAGCGATGTGAGGCGCTATCGTGACATCAGCACATTCACAGGCAAGTGCTGTTCTCATTATTCACAACAACACAAATAAATTGATGAATGTAGGGCCCATGGCCACCACATATTGGTGACTCCTCTTACCCATAAAAGCATACATAGGATGGCGATAATAGGAAAAAAAACTATTTTGGGCCACGCATAATATTGTGGAAAAGAAGGCTTTCACTGCAATCGTGAAAGTTTGGCAGTTACAGTTTTTTTAAGACATTTCAGTTGTAAATCCACCACTTCTGAAAGAAAGTATGGCGCAAGAGACATTTTCCCAACATGAGACCCCTACTGCAAAGTGAATTCAAACGTTTTTTTAAAAAGTGATCAGCAGTTGAGTTTTCTGCTTAAAATTAGAAAATGAATCCCAACAGCAACAACAACCTGCACAAAGGGGTGATGTACCCTTACAGGTCTTCTGTGTGGAAGTGTTTTATCAAAGGCTCCTCTTGGTCTGCATTCTGCATAAGGTTAAAGTAGAAATGAATGGTCTGTTTATAGTTTTGTAACGATATCCTCTCATTCACCCCGTGATACCTGCAAATACAAAACATCACATTATGTCAGCAAAATGTCTACGTGATCCATTCACTGTTTATAGCCGTAGGGTGCCGAGAATATTTACCAACAATTGAGCTTAATTAAAATTTACAATCATAAAAACGTTATCATTTGCAGCCCCTTTGTCAATAGACAGTTGGATAAGGCGCCCCCTTTCGTGCCGAGTCGGTCGTGGAGGCTGCTTGACCATACTTCACCACGACAGTCAGTGCGCGAGGGCGTGGTGGGACCCAGGACTGGTTCAGCTCTCGCTCGCCACCGATGTTAGCCATTGCTGGCACCCGAACCGAGATCGTTGGATTCAGAGCGCGAGGTGCGAACCACCACGGCACTGCCACGACGACCCCCACAAGCACCCCACAAAACAAAACAGGCCGACGTATATGAAGGGCCATTGCCGGGCGCCGTTTCGGACAATGACCCTTCTTCATGTGCTATGAAGAAAAGGCAATAGCTTGAAACGAAATTATATTTTAAAAATAAAAAACATTATTTTAAAGCAGTGTTGTTGATGAATGTGTTGATTTTTATTGTCAATTGTGCTTGTGCACCGCTGCCAGCGCAGCATTACCAAATCACTTGTTTAAGCTATTCTAAGATATATTATAGTGTGAGTCTGATTCTTTCAGGCCACTAAAAAAACTGCTGGATCACAGTTTTCTGTGGGTGGTCTTGAGTTCTATTAAAGCAGCAGCAACAACAACCACCTTCTGCAAAGAATCCAGACGACAACAATATGGCCGTCGTCAGCATAGACATCATAAGCTCTATCTTGATTTGAAGCTTTCGTGACTGCAGGAATCCATACTCTTTGGTCTTTTGGTAAAGTCATGTAGGTAGGGGAAATAAATAAATAAACAAATACATAAATATAGATGCATAGCACGACGTTTCGATCGCAACACAAGCACCATAGCAATCATTGAAGACTTGGTCCAACAAGGACTGAATCCTGATGTACCAACTTTGGTGAGGCACTGCCTTACCAACACTTACTTTATCTGGAATGGTACATTATACAAACAAAATGAAGGTACCCCTATGAGTTCTCCCCTATCACCAGTGGTAGCGAATGTTTTCATGGAGAAATTTGAAACAGATGCCATCCTGACATCCGCCCTACGTCCTTCCCTGTGGAAGAGATACGTAGCTGACACTTCTGGCCACCACCGTTGCGGTGGTTTTCTTGCGTTGACGCGCTTGCCTCTCACAGCACAGTTGGCAGCACCGCAGCAGCTTGTGTTACACATAGACGTGACATCAACTTGCTAATCCCCCCGAATCTCCCTGCCTAATCTCTCCCATCAACAAAGTGCTAATCTCCCATTAACACTGCTGTTGTGCGCATATGTGGGGGCGATACTCTTATGCGGCGACGGAAGCTCATTTCATGCTAATCTCTCTCCATAATCTCTCTCTCCCTAATCTCACTCATTAACACAACTGACGTGCTTGCGTGCGGGGATGGAATTCCTTTCCAGCTCAGACCCCGCCTGCTTGCCCTTCGCCACATATATAACGTCTTGTTGTAACAGCTCGCTCGCTGTTTCTTCCTGGTTCTGCAGTTCCACTGCTGGATTATTTTTTTCCGCCTGAGGACGACCGCTTGTGTTGCGGTCGAAACGTTGTGATACATTATTTTATATTTTATTTTTCTACCTACGTGACTTTACCGAAATAACCAAAGAGTATCATAACCTCTACGTACACAGAATAAATGTTTTCCATTACCTTGGAATATCCTCCAGTTTATTCCAAACTGGTGTGAATCTGTAGAGAGCGCTGGTCAGCTTCTGATAATGCCTGGTATCCGTGTTGGCAATACAGAGTCCTGGCAGAACAGAGTTGTTACAAACACATGACCATGTCAGACTGGGGTCTGATGAGTTTTTCACTACTTACAGAAAGTGCTATAATTGTTGAATTATCGTCCGTGGGCCTGGTTTCACTGCAGAGGGTTCGATTTCACTCGTTATACTTCGATCAAATTTCCTAGAACTTACAAAACCCACCAAAATGTTATTAAAAATAATAGCTCGGCTATCAGCTGCAATAATGACACACTAACAGAGAATGGCGCTCAAGTCCAACACTTGAATCTACAAATAAACTTTTTTATTTTACCAGGTAAGGCCCACTGACCTAAATAGCTCTTTTCAGAAGTGACCTGGCCACCTATAAAAGCTCGACGAAGTGGCTTATCACGCAAAAATGCATAGTAGCCAAATACTATAAATACGTGTTGATTCTAAATGTGGATGCAAAAAACCAGAGGACTCGGAGAACAATTCACACGACCACAGGGAGAACAGGCAAACTCCAATTATACCTACGACTCCCTGTATACCTCGCGAGGTAGTTGACATATCGCTAGCGTGGCACCCTACACAACGTCCCAGGCTCGGGCCATTAGGATTTAACCCCACAATATTATAGAATTAAAGGCTACACGGTGTCTACGGCGGGATATACAGGGTCTTCATGCATTGTCAAATGCTAACTGTGGACCAGATCTGCATATGGCTCCCCTCGTCAGCCACGCACGTGTCCCATTCCTTGCTAACAATTGCACACGCTGCTCGGAATAAAGAGGGTGGACAAAATTCACAGGTGTATAGCCCTTTGGACACTCAACAGAACTGGAGATTCAATAAAACATCAATCACACAAATCGGAACAACAAAAACTAGAAACTAAAATATGAATTACTAATTATATTTGGAATAAATAAGAATCAAAATCAAGCATCTAGATTGAAAACTAATTTCTTTCTAACTGCTTTTTCTGTTTCGTTTGTTGTCCTTCCCCGCACCTCCGATTAGCATGGTTGACTACGTACAGTGCGAAAGAAGTTCAACATATCGTACATAATTTGGAGGACCTTTCCGACCCCTCAGATAAAAAAATAGTTTGTCTCGGCATCGATGAGTTCCTCCAGTAATCTGCCATTTCCAGCCCTGATCACGCGGGGGGGGGGGGGGGAAAGACGAATTGCGACATCGCTCAGGTATCGATGACAATGGCGTGCTCACCAGGGGCGCTGACGATGTCTGGGAAGGTGTCCGTGATGCTTTTGCTGATTGTCCAGTAGCCAGTGGCAGACTCGTCAAACGGGCTGATAGGCAGGGGCTCCATGGAGGAGAGGACCTCCAGCTCCACTCGGTCGTCGGCGATGATCTCCTCGGTCAAGCGCAGCACCTGGCGGTAACACAATGGAACCGCGGCACTCGCCAATCTGTGCAGCAGAGAGCAGCAAGTCCACAGCCTCTGCGCGATAATGCTGCGGGAGACGGTGATCCCATAACCCACGTGACGGCAAGAAGAACCAATGAAAGTTGGGTCTATGTAAGAGATGAGTGAAAGAGCTGGAGCATAGACTGTAAGAGAGAGATAGACACCAAAGTAATTCGGGCACATTTATAGGCGTGATAGGGAAAGCCTGAAGATAAACTATTGATGTTTGGAATTAAGTGAAAGGAAAAGTGAATAGAAGAGGTTGACAGACTAAGATGGACAGTTAGAATTGTAAATATAACCGGGAGGACGGTGTACAGCCTTTCCATCTAGAACACAGTAGTTGCGTTCCAGAAGAACATCGCATGATAATAAATCTATAATACAGTAAAACCTTGGATTGCGAGCATAATTCGTTCCGGAAATGTGTTTGTAATCCAAAGCACTCGCATATCAGTTGTGATCACGTGACGCTCGGCAGACAAAGCGTATACATACTACTCCTATTGCAAGACCTCGCTCGTTTATCAAATTAATATAAAACAAATTTTACTCGTCTTGCAAAACACTCGTAGACCAATTTACTCGCAATCCAAGGTTTTACTGTACTTGGGTAAAGCACAGTCCGTGATAAAACGTGAGATGCGTAACGCAGGCTGAACAAAGACTGAGGCACGTGGGTAGCATTTAGAAGCATCCAGCAGCATCCCGCCTTGAGTTATTTTACGCCGAGGCAGCCGTACAACCGCTTATTCCTACTCACGCGACGTAGCTACATTCACTCAATCGTGTTATTTCCAATTCGCGTTATGAAAACACGCGGCGTTACAGGAGAACAGACTGTAACAGTGTTATATAAAAAGCCCAAAATCACAGAGTGGAGTAGCTTCATCCATTGATGAGCGGGAGAGCGAGCAGCATAGGTACAATATATAGAGAGGGCCGGCGTGCCGCACATGGGCGGGTGGGGGGGGGCACGGGGAAGCAATGCCAACCCCAAACTGGAAACCTTTATTAATTTATTTTCAGTAGTTTACAATTGAAATTAAAACTAAATTAATTATATACACCCGCGATTCCTAATGTGAGGGATAAATGTAACCCCTGCCACCCCCACCCGTCCAAATATAGAAGTGAAACTCCGCCTGTGGTGCCGCGTGCAGACTCACCTCGCTCACCGACTGAGCCGGGTGGATGCGGTAGTTGACGGTGGCCTCGGCGAGCGGCGCCACCACGTTCGGCTGCGGTAGAGGAACGCACGGCAGCCGGCTCAGGGTCAGGCGTAACTCGCGGAGGGTTTCGTGCACGAGGCCGAGGTTCTTCAACGACGTTTTCCTGGCTGGCCTCGCAATAAACCTTGCGTGCGATCGCGGGCCGCGCGACGGCACGTCGGAATCTTTAGAATCAGGATCTTTATTTGGTGCTGGAGGAATCCGATGAGCTATGACGCTCTTTTTCACAGATGTCCAGCAGGGGCACGTCCGCAAGTATGGGCGGGCAAGCACATCATGGTGTCAATATAATGTCTGCACACAGACTCCTGTTTTATCTGAACCGCATATTTTCACGTCTCACAATCTCTCCCTTGCCATCATCTCACTTCTGTTCATCCTTATTTCTACGGCTCTCGCATCTCTCTCTCTTTCTTATGTATCTCTTTCTCATCTAATCTGTGTATTTTTATTTTTCGCAGTCATATGTCTCAGCGGGCCACTCTGAGAGCTTTCGCAGGCCAAGTCTGGTCCGCAGGCAACTCATTGAAGGACTCTGCACAAGGGCTACGGCTTGCTTCTGCCTCTGCCTTTCCCAACAGGAACATCAAATTAGAAACCCCAGTTCAGAAACTTTGAATTCCCTAAGGAATGACGATCACATGACATAAAACCACATTCCCCAGTGCGGCTGCATTCAACAGCCAAACATGAGACTTGGTACTTGTCACGGTGATATGATTGATCATAATAACAAGTACAGGAAATCATTGATACTGGAAATCTGTAAAAAAAAATAGCTTTATAGCTCATCGGATTCCTCCAGTATAAATAGATCAATATTCAGATTTTTGTGTGGAATGGGCCCCACTCATGGTTGCTCGGTGTTCCCTGTTGTGACTGACGCGATTCCACACAACTACAGAAAGTTCTGCAGAGTTCACATTCCTCTATGCATTGTTTACACACCTAATGAAAGAGGCTATTCTTTTTAAACTATGTTTTTGTTTTACCAGATAAGGCTCACTGAACTGCTACGTAGCTCTTTTATAGAAGCGACCTGGCCACAAATGAGAGCTCAACGAAGTGGCTTATCACCTTCTTTGGTTCTTTCGGTAAAGTCACGTAGAATGAGAATAAAATAATAAATTGATAAAATAACACAATAATATTCTCACGACGTTTCGGCCACAACACAAGCGGCCTTCATCAGGTGAAGGGACGAGACTGTCTGGTAGGACAGCGCTGGAGTGAATCATCACGTGGACATTTATAGCAGCCGAATACTCAAAACGTATGTTTATAATTGTGGAGGGAAAAACCAGAGGACCTCGAGAAAAATCCACACGACCACGTGGAGAACATTAAAACTCCAAATATACAGGCGTCAGGGTCGGGATCGAACCCATAACCTCCTGTACACCAGGCAATGGATGGAGCGGCAGTGCAGTGGTTAGCACAGTGCACAATGCACCCGGTGACCCGAGTTTGATTCCTGGCCACGGCTAACATCAGTGTCGAGTGATATCTGAAGAGGTCCTGGACCCTGACCCTTCCACTAACCAGCACTGATCAGCTTGGTGAAGTATGGTCAAATAGCCCCCATGGCTGACAAGGCTTTTGGAACGCTTTAATTTAGCAGTGGGTTCAGGAAGGGCTGACATAATTAAAACTATGATTGTTGTATTACTGTCGTTAACTTATACCGTACAGTACTTGGAGAACATAGCAAGCATTTTACCTTGACACCTGCGTGGAATTCAGTCACTGCAGTTGTGGTCCTGATTAGGGCATTGGTGGTTGGCTTCTGACCCAGCACCCTAAGAGCATAAAGTGAGACATTGAAATGACATTTGAAATGTAACGACGTTTAAATAACGAAAAATATTTAAAGGATAATATGAACTATTCAAAACACTCCTTTCTGCGTTTACTAAATGTATAATTTACTGAGTTCTATGTTAATATTTATTTCAATCCCACAAATACCAACAGCTCAAGCGGTTATTCAGGAGTGCCGCGGTGACGAGATGTTAACTGCCTCGCCTGGTATACAGGAGGTCGTGCATTTTATCCTGACCCTGACGCCTGCTGCATATTTGGAGTTTGCATGTTCGCCCCGTGGTCACGTGAATTTTTCTCCGGGTCTTCTGGTTTTTCCCTCCACATTTAGAAACACGTGTTTAGAGTAAATAACAAGGTATATTGTCCAAGTTGCCTTCCCTCTGTTGGAGTCAATAAAATGGGTTCCACTCCCTGGACAGTTAACAAAGGCCGTCCTATGGAGACACCGCCTCTTACAAGCCGAATCGCGTTTGTTTTGGAAAGTTTCACACGGAAAAAAAACTGAAAACCGAGGAAAAAACCCACCCACGTGAGGAAGATACAATCAACATTTCCATCTCCTGGCCACCTAGCGCTCCCACGCCTACAACACCTGGCAAGCTAAGTATGTAAGTAGGTAAGTACTTAAGTAGGGAAGTATTTACCTACTTAGCTTAAGAAATATGACACGATCAGACGTATTTATATCTTTCAGGATTCATGGTTTCATTATTATTAAATATGAAATGCATTCTACTCTTACGCATGGCAATCTATTCAGGGGCTAAATACCAATGTCGAGGTCTGCTGGCCACGAGGGGCTTCTGGAGAAGATCCATTAAATGGCAATGAAGTTTGACTATAACGTATGTGTTAAACCGAAGTTTTATTACTTTAGGAAACGGCAATGCGATCACCACCAAAGTAATCTTCACAAAGCCAACAGTGAAATGAATCAAAGCATTAAAAACAAGACAAACTATTATCACTCCACTCGAACAAATATTTGCATTGAAAGGTACTGCCGGTTGATGGACAGTGCGGCAGTATATGGGAAAAGCTGAAATCAACGTGTGTCGCAGTGTACATAACTGTCGAGTTGTCATCGATCTGCAAGTTTTTTTGATGACCTTTTTCCTACATAAGACACTCAGTCCTCATGTGCACACAAATGCACCTTTGTATAAAGGCCTCACAATGTTAACTTTGAACCTACAAAGAAATAGATTTTTTTTTATTTTACCAGGTAAGGCCCACTGAGCTATATAGCTCTTTTTCAGAAGTGGCCTAGCCACAAATGATAGCTCAACGAAGTGGCTTATCACGTTGAAATGTATAGCAGCCAAATAATCTGAACGCACATTGATTCTAAATTCGAGGGAAAAATCAGAGGACCCGGAGAAAAATCCACACGATCACTGGGAGAGACACATGCAAACTCCAAATATGCAGGCGTCAAGATCAGAATCGAACCCATGACCTCATGCATACCAGGCGAGGTAGTTAACATCTCACCAACTTGGTGCCCTAAAGTGAGCACCGACTTTGATCTCCCTGTTATGGCCCTGCTTACCAGCTGAAAATCGGGCCAAAGAGCCAAAGGTTGGACGTCACCACTCGCATCGGAAAGTTGAACTGCAGCAAGAACAAAAACAACCTTGATGTGAATCGGAGGGAAACATCAGTTTGCGGAACACCGCGATAAAAATTCCATTTGTAATCAGGAATTACCATCAAGCATGTTCATCAGCATCAACACAAAAGTACTGAAAAGGATAGAAGACTGTTGCTCAACAGTAGTGTCTTGATTTATTTGCTGATAAATAATATAAAGTGGTTAGCGAATTGCGGTATGTACCTGGCCACCCAAGGTCGATTTCCAGCAATGGCCAACGCCCATTGAGTTTTACCTAAACTGGTCCTGACCCTCCACCTCCTGCTCAGCCACCCGCACTAACCAGCATTGAGGCCAGAACTGGTCCTTGCCACAGATGACCCACCTGCAATATGGGTGCTGGCACTCAAAACTCAAGTTTGTTATTTTCAAGGTCACACCTTCTGGTTTTGTTTATTTCACTTTTTAAACTGAAGCCAATGCGAGTTTAGAAACGATCTCTCAAAATTTACCGGGTGCTTGAAGGAGTTCAACAATGCATTACAGTCAATACACGCATAGTCAAAGTAGAGGCATGTATGCAGAGAAGAAGAGGGGCGAGTCCTGAGCAACACGCAAACAAGTAAATTAGAACGGCATTTTAAGCTGTGGACTTTTACAATGAAAGTAACAAATTGAGAGGAGGGCGTGATCCCACAAACCTGAAGCTTCACTTTTCCACACGCATATTGAAGTGGCAATCCTAACCCACACCGATCTACGCTGGTGAAACGTCAAATATAACCCCCACGTCCAACATGGCCTTACCTCAAACCTGAAGCTTAACTTTTCCGCACGCATATTGAGTGGCACCCTAATCCACACCGATCGACGCTGATGAAATGTTGTCAAATATAACCACCACATACAAAATGGCCTTACCTCAAACCCTGGATTGACAAGTAGCTGTAAAGATTGAATTCACGAGAAAAATGAACATGTCGGTGGGTACAATGAAGAACCAGCTCCAATGATGTGCGTGAATATCCCCTTTAGGAAAAGCTTTATTCATAAAATGTATCAAACATTATTTTTGTAAAATAACAGCATTGCAACAGCACAATGCGTTTAGAGAAGATAACAAAAGTGCAATCAGTAACAGCATCAGGAAGGGATGTGAGCCGATTAGGTTTGTCTCACTGGAGACGATTGCAAGTGTGTGGGTAATGCACGGAGTCTGAACAGCTGTGCGTCTAATTTCCTTTGTTTATGGTGTGAGTGAGAGGCTGGGTTGCATGACTGATGCGATTGTTAGAGGGCAATTGAGGGTATGGCTGCATCCTCCCGTGTGGCAATGAGGTTAATGCTTGACTCACAATTGTAAGGTTGTGAGTTGAAATCCCGGTCAGTAGGTTTGAGAATATATTTTTTTGCTTTGCTTTTCTAAGATTGTTTTACAATTTTTCTTCTTCTATCGGTCTCAATGTAACACGCGTAGATATTTTACAAATTATTAGCATAAATAGTAAATAACAGATACTTTTTCTAAATGATTACTACACGCACAAGTCGATGCGAGCATTAAATTAATTTTAATAAATGGATTGTTACATAGCTATTAGTCAGCCCCTCACCCCCATTAAATAATTTATACATTTAGTACCCCTTTGTGGGAAGTAAATTGTCGTCTCATGGACAGACTGGTGGAAACACTGGCTCAATGGAGTTGGTTCTAAATCAAAATCTTTATTTATTTGTATTCTTCCTGGAGGAATCCGATGAGCTATGAAGCTTTTTTTAACGGATGTCCTGTAAAGCCCACCCCGCACCCCTCCTCTTTGAGGTGGGGAGGTCACTGTGCGTGAGGTGTGATGTCTGAGTGAAATGTCACGATTGGGGGTGGTGGGAAAAACCCAAGCCCGTTGTCCCCATGCTGATGGGTCTTTGTCCCCAATTTACGACCGAAAAGTTGTGATGTTGCTATCGTGAACACCTGAACATACAGGGCCCTTCGGCTTTGTAGGTGGTGGAACTTCCTTTTCGTCAAGGACACTTAATTTTGCCATGGGTGAGTGGGTATAGCGTTTGACAGACATACCCAGAATCCACCCAATCTCGTCAAATCTGAGCATGGTTACATCCGAACGGTACTTTGAATGGGGACCAACATGCACCAATAGATTGTCAAAGAGCTTGCTGTGTTATGTGGTAAAGAGCAGAGGCAAGTGCAGCAACATCCGTTATTGTACTACACTTATATACTCCCAAAAATGTGCTCCCTGCCTTCACCAACGCGCACTTAACCAGCGTGGTGAAGTATGGCCAAATAACTCCCATGACACACACGGTGTGGGGAGGCCCCAATCCGGCAGTGGACTGACAATAGGTTTGAAGAACAGCTTGTTGGGAAATTGGTGAGATTTCAGTTTTTTTAAAGGCAGTCATGAGCATTAAAACAGTGGTCATCTCTTGTTTACAGCCCTGAGCCAGTGGTGGAAATTCCACATTCCTATGACGGGGGCAAGTCCCTCCATAGGACAACCACTGCTGACTTCCCCACAAAGTGGTTACTCAATTTGACAACCCTGTAGGAGTGATGTACTGAGTCAATCAACCCCCCAACCCGGATCTGAACTCGCGATCTTTCGATTGCGAGCCGCTCACTCCACCTCACTCCACCAGTGAGCCAGCACGGCCAGATTCATAGCTTGAGCAAAATATTTGCATTTCCATTGAAACATTTGCTGCTGTCTCTAATAAATTGAGCAATGATTACAGAAAGTGAGAAAGGAATTGTGAGTTGTGTCATCTGGGCATGTCCGGGTCCCATGGTCCAACATTATCATCCTCAGTTTAACACATTGGTTTTCACGACGAATGTCGATAATAAAGGATTTTTTGGGGGGTTAGATCGCGTAAATATAAATGTGTCGTTAAACCCGCCACCACCCGACACAGGCAATTTGTAAGGTTTGTCATGTAAACAAAACATGCAATTTCGTTACTTGTTCAGCACACCGGTGTGTTGAAGAGTAAACCCACAATATTTACAATTCGAGTATGACGTTTCGCCGGTAATTACAACCAAACTCATCATGCGACAGCCATCCTACATGTGCTGAAACATGTCGATTGTAAACGGAGTGACTATCCTTCACGCTGATCATGGACAAATCAAGGCACGTTATTTAAAGTCCAGTATAGAGTGAACTTTCAAACATATATACAGTGAGGGAAAAAAGTATTTGATCCCCTGCTGGTTTTGTACGTTTGCCCACTGACAAAGAAATTATCAGTCTATGATTTTAATGGTAGGTTTATTTGAACAGTGAGAGACAGAATAACAACAAAAAAATCCAGAAAAACGCATGTCAAAAATGTTATAAATTGATTTGTATTTTAATGAGGGAGATAAGTATTTGACCCCCTCTCAATCAGAAAGATTTCTGGCTCCCAGGTGTCTTTTCTACAGGTAACGAGCTGAGATTAGGAGCACACTCTTAAAGGGAGTACTCCTAATCTCAGCTCGTTACCTATATAAAAGACACCTGTCTACAGAAGCAATCAATCAATCAGATTCCAAACTCTCCACCATGGCCAAGACCAAAGAGCTCTCCAAGGATGTCAGGGACAAGATTGTAGACCTACACAAGGCTGGAATGGGCTACAAGACCATTGCCAAGCAGCTTGGTGAGAAGAAGACAACAGTTGGTGCGATTATTCGCAAATGGTGGAAACACAAAAGAACTGTCAATCTCCCTCGGCCTGGGGCTCCATGCAAGATCTCACCTCGTGGAGTTGCAATGATAATGAGAACGGTGAGGAATCAGCCCAGAACTACACGGGAGGATTTTGTCAATGATTTCAAGGCAGCTGGGACCATAGTTACCAAGAAAACAATTGGTAACACACTACGCCGTAAAGGACTGAAATCCTGCAGCACCCGCAAGGTCCCCCTGCTCAAGAAAGCACATATACATGCCCGTCTGAAGTTTGCCAATGAACATCTGATTGATTCAGAGGACAACTGGGTGAAAGTGTTGTGGTCAGATGAGACCAAAATGGAGCTCTTTGGCATCAACTCAACTCGCCGTGTTTGGAGGAGGAGGAATGCTGCCTATGACCCCAAGAACACCATCCCCACCGTCACACATGGAGGTGGAAACATTATGCTTTGGGGGTGTTTTTCTGCTAAGGGGACAGGACAACTTCACCGCATCAAAGGGACAATGGACGGGGCCATGTACCGTCAAATCTTGGGTGAGAACCTTCTTCCCTCAGCCAGGGCATTGAAAATGGGTCGTGGATGGGTATTCCAGCATGACAATTACCCAAAACACACGGCCAAGGCAACAAAGGAGTGGCTCAAGAAGAAGCACATTAAGGTCCTGGAGTGGTCTAGCCAGTCTCCAGACCTTAATCCCATAGAAAAAATTGTGGAGGGAGTTGAAGGTTCGAGTTGCCAAACGTCAGCCTAGAAACCTTCATGACTTGGAGAAGATCTGCAAAGAGGAGTGGGACAAAATCCCTCCTGAGATGTGTGCAAACCTGGTGGCCAACTACAAGAAACGTCTGACCTCTGTGATTGCCAACAAGGGTTTTGCCACCAAGTACTAAGTCATGTTTTGCAGAGGGGTCAAATACTTATTTCCTTCATTAAAATGCAAATTCATTTATAACATTTTTGACATGCGTTTTTCTGGATTTTTTTGTTGTTATTCTCTCTCTCACTGTTCAAATAAACCTACCATTAAAATTATAGACTGATCATTTCTTTGTCAGTGGGCAAACGTACAAAATCAGCAGGGGATCAAATACTTTTTTCCCTCACTGTAATGGCGTTGGTTGGGAGAGGATGGGGGGTGTTCACAGAAAAGACAATACCCACGAATAGAAAATATGTATAAATTAGGCGATAAAAATATATATGTATTGTTGACATACTTAGCCTGGAGGTGAACACGTGAAGTGTTCCACGTGTGTTTATTGCTTCTTATTTTTGCCCATGTGTTTGCTAGCACGTTTGCATGAATCACACTGACACGAAATGAGTTAGGAGCAGCTTAATCATTAAACCAGCATGCTGGACAAATATTTATTTAGTTATGTTGCAAGCGCAGCTAATCCGCCCATGTATAATGAGAGCTAGCTATGAGTCGTAAGAATATCGGGGTACGGGTAGAGGAAGTTGGGTGAGGCAGGTGTAGGACCGGACACCACACAGAGAGGGGGTGAGTGTCATTTGTTGGCTTAAAGGTGGTTTATGACAATCTCCGATTTGCAAAGAGGTACAAATCGTAAGAATAATAGGTGTAATCTTGATTTGAAGCTTTCGTGACTGCAGGAATCCATAGTCACGTAGGTATAAAATTATTAATAGATCACGACGTTTTGATCGCAACACAAGCGACCGTCTTCAGGTGAGAGAGAGAAAGCTATTGAAACAAAGTCTTATGTAGGCCTGAGATGGGTGCAGCCTCAGGGTAAGAGGGTGGGGCTAGAGATGGTCTGCCTGAGGCTGGGGAAGTGGCTATTGTATTGTGAGAGATTAGCATGTCAATGCACGAGCTTAGTATGCCGCAGCATCGGTGACTTGCCTAGTATGTCGCAGCATCGGTGACTGAGCGAGAAAGACATCCAGCCCGTCAATACAAAGACATACAACCTAATAATGCAACTCAGAGTCAGCTAAAATCGCGGGAAGGATGGAAACATCGCAATTTGTACCCATCTTCTCAGTTGAAGTTGTGTCTGTGTTTATATATCTGGATGGCTTCATGAACAAATCTCTGATGATAGCCAGTGGGTTTGCAGAGTACCTTCATCTTGGAAAAATCAATTTCGTGTGTGCCCACAGCGTTAAAACAATGATCCGCAACGGCAGAGGTATTGGTCCTACTGTGCTTCAGATCTGCCTTGTGTTCGCAAACACGGTCCGAGACATGTCGTTTCGTTTCCCCAATGTAACTACTGCCGCAGCCACAACTTAGTTTGTAGACACCAGGAAATTGCATGTCAGGAATCACATCCTTCACAGATGGGATCAAATCATGGATTTTGCGTACTGTGTTGAAATGAACCTCGATCTTGTGTTTGTTTAAGATTTTGGAAATCTTTTTGGCAACCCCCTGCTATGTATGGCAAGGTGATGGTTTTGATTGGGTCCTCAGATGGTTGTCTACCCATGGCTGGGGAGACAGCTTTGCGGATTGTACGGTCAGAATATCCATTTATCCTGAGGGCTTGGTGTACGCGCTCCAGCTCACTGGCTAGGTGGTGCTGGTCGGAGATGCAATGGGCCGTATGGTATAGTGCTTTGATGAGGGAATTCTTCTGGGCTGGATGGTGGTGGGAGTCAGGCTTTAGATAGGCATCCGTGTGGGTGGCTTTCCTGTAGACAGAATGTCCTTACGAGCCATCAGGTCTCTTCTAGATCAAAACATCCAGGAATGGTAACTTGCCATCCTTTTCCACTTCCATGGTGAATTTGATGGCTGGGTGTATGGATAGGTGTCTTCGTATTTATTCTGTTGTGCCACGGTGGCGAGATGCTCACTACCTCGCCTGGTATACAGGAGGTCGTGGGTTCGATCCCAACCCTGATGCCTGTATATTTGGAGTTGGCGTGTTCTCCCCAAGGTCGGGTGGATTTGCATAAGGGTTCGCTGCTTTTTGCCCTCCACAATTAGAATCAACACGCGTTTAGAGTTTTTGGCTGCTCTACGTTTCCACACGATAAGCCGATTCATTGGGCTATCATTTGTGGCCAGGTTGCTTCTGAAAAGAGCTACTATACAGCTCAGTGGGCCTTACCTGGTAACACAAAAATATAATAGGAAATATGAGCAAAGACTGCATTTCTGCCAACACATACGTAAAAGCTACTGTTTGACAGCAAGAGATAAACAAGCCCCCTTGTAAAAAAAGACACGTGTTATTGTTTACAAATTATGATAATCATTGGATCATGGATGGCAGTAGATACAAGCCAAGTGTCTTGCCTATATCATTAGGTATGTATGTTTGTATTGTTCATCAGTGTTCCTGTGTTGTGTGTGTGGTTTATATACGCTGTTGTAAAGCCACTTCTGACATGGGTACATTAAAACAAACGTGAAAGTGAGAAGGGCTTAAGAGTACCTGTGGCGAGAGGTATTCAAAGAGTGCTCTTTCTGGTCCAGACCCAAACTGCTGAGGCAAGGGGTTGCTCTCCAGGCTAGATAGCAAAACATCATGAGTAAGACGAAACTGGAAATAACCTTGAGTTTACAACAATAGGTTTTACCCTTTCTGGCAATAAAACAGTTGTGTCAAGATGTTAAAACACCAAACAGAATCCTTATTCAAGGAATCCTGTCTGCATTAACCACACGTACTTGTGGTGAACATGCAAATAAAAAACATGCTCTGATAAATATGCATTGTCTTTGAAACGTATTGGTCCACACAAGAGACAGCTTTCTTTAGAGCCTAGTCTCAAAGTGTTCGACCAGAGAATGCCAAAAGGCGTATAGCACAAAGTCAATGTCACTATCAGGGCATTTATACCTCGGGGTGAGCAGCTACAATACATATATGTGTGGGCAACTATTTGTGAATCAGATCCATGCCCTGAATCATAATTAATGTAATCACCGGGGAGCGAGTTAAACCAATTCTAAGGATTCCTGTGAATGATTATAAACTCATCAGACACAAATGTGAGTGCAAGCTGGGAACGAATAAAAGCAACAGTTCACACAAAAGGAGATTTCTCAACAGGACAAGGTGCGATAGTGATAATTAGCTCGGTCCTCCCATCATGCCTCGCAAAACACGACATCACTGTACTGCGTGTGTACTGCACACAGCCTTGCTTTATACAACCCGACTCTCATATTAGACTCAAAATTGTGGCCATGTTATTTTATACAAAAGCAGGACAATAAGACAACTGTATACCACGTTGATCCTTGTTAGGAATCATCAGTACATTTCATAATGAGGATAGACATCGTTGCCTGGCTACCACCTCGTGCCACGGAGGCTTTGTGTGGACTTCCCTCCCCTCCCTGGTCACTGTGGGGACAGTTTGGCAAGAAGGGTAACAATAAACCCACCCCACACTCACCGCGTGATGGCAGCGGAGAGGATGCCGATGCAACTCTCCTTGGCGGGCATAGAGGAGTGGCCCGTCTCTGTGCGCACACGCAGCCTCAGCATGAGCGAGCCCTTCTCCGACACACCCACCCTGCGAGCAGCACGCAGCAAGTCAGAACCACCAAACTCAGGATTAGCCTCGAGGACGTTACTCGGTTAATGAAGGACGCATATAGACACGTCTCGATGCGTCATATTAACTTTAGAAAAGTAAGTGGGCTTGAGCAGGACACTTCGCTACAAGGCACGATGGCTGGGTGTGTCGCTAGAAGATATGAAGGGAGGTGGTCGAGACGAATAGAGTGGTGGTCACAGGAAGGAAAGCGCTTCAGACTGTGTACAATAAAATCAGCTCATGTGCAAGATGGATTGTAGCTTCGCAGGACTCTTAAGGGATTGTGACATCTTGGGGAAGCTTAAATCCAGCAGTGGATTGATCATGGCTGCTGCTGATGATACTGATGGACAAGGTTGGAGGGTTAAATCCCAGGAATTTCGCGAGGATTTCAATGTGAGTGGAGTATGCTGTTGGGGGTTATGGGAGTCTTTACAGATGGACTGCATTCCAGATTCATGGAAGGTTACAGTGATAATGTACTGGTAATGTACAAAAATATCACAGAATTGCTTAGCAGCTCCCACATGATCTATTTCGTGACCCGACAGCACTCACACGGCCACTGGTATCTGCAGGCCTGGCACGACCCCATCCAAGATGACCATTCCCTCATCCAGCAGGAAGTCCAACTTGACTCCTCTGGACTCCAGTACCTTTGCAATATTACGTGCACCTTTGTCTCCCCCGATCTGTCACACAGAGATGTTGAACAAAGGGGGCAGCCACTCAAGAGGAATGCAGTAAAAAATAAGTAATTTAAAAATTAAAGAGTGAGCAATTCAAATCAAATCGTACGTTCACAATACGACCCTTGAATTATTATTTGTGCAGTGTACAGCCCTTTGTAAATCCACGCTGGATAAAGTTCTCCCTCATGCTGTGTCATCATGAGAGTTTGACCATACTTCACCACAGTGATCAATACGTATTCGTGAAGGAGGCGGCCCACTGCACTTGAAGTTGAATTGTGTTTGTAGGAATCAATTATTCAATATTCATTAAAACGTAATTAATGATAATGGGGCGAACAAGGCTGCATGAATAATGCAGAACACATTCAAGAGGAAACAAATGAGGTAACGCATTAATCGATCACTGAATCAAATCACCACGAGCATCGTGGACGAGGTAGAATCACGATGTGTGTGTGTGTGAGCTGTCAACCAAAACTGGCACGCATTGCCACTGCGACCCTCTCCATCAAACGGCGCTACAATGAGCTGGTGTTTGTGCGTACGGCTCCTCCCAAGAGATGCTCACTGCTCATCAGCAAAGACGAGATGAGCCTGTTTGATCTGGATACGGTTCTAAATGAGGCAGACCCTGCAGCGCTGGAACGTCACCGCAGCGCGTTTCTCCTATGTCCCTGCACATAGCCACGGACGCTCCCCGGGCATGACTCATGCCTACATTTGTCCAGTGTCACCCTCTCACAGTCCCTCTGGCTGTTCAGCCTGTGCCAACCTCTCGTTCCACTCTACCAACTCGCCACAGTCCTGCAACATCGTGTACAGTACATGTCAATTCACTGCCGGATGAGAGCCCTCCTCCCGCATGCAGTGCAGGTCGCGGTGGGGGAGGGGTTTACTTGACCATACTTCACCACGCTGGTGAAGGTGGGGAGGGTAGACGTGGAAGCATAGAAGTACTTTACAACTGCATTTCCCTCTGTTGCTCAGCACATAGAGCCGCAGCTTATAACAACATGTCATGTGTCCATGGTGATCGCCCATCCCAGCAATATCCAGGCTCAAAAAAACCTGCTTAGCTTTCGAGATCGAGTGCATTTCAGATGACTGGGTCAAACGTGCCATCTCCTTCACATGGCAAAAGTAGCAGCAAATAAGCACTGATGTTATTGCTTGCTCCGAGATAGTTTGGTCCTCAGTATGTAGACATTTGAAATTGTATTGGAAAAAAATCACACCGATTTAGCCCTAAAAAAAAGTAAATGCTCATGTATGCAATTCCTATGCATCACGGTGTATGAAATACTCTACAACAGGCTTTAGAGAAAACTCTTGCTGGAGAGTGTTCCGTACCTCCGATGAGCACGGTTGGCTACGTACGGTGCGAAAGAAGGTCAACATACATAGAAAACACTGATAATACTGTACCCAGATTCACGTAGAAATGCCTCAAATGCACAATACAGGCCAGCATGAGTCCTCCTCACCTCTTCATCGTGTCCAATGCCAATGTAGAAGGTCCTCTGTGGGACAAACCCACGCTGCAGAAGAAGCTCTAACGCCTCCAGAATGGCCTGTACACACGTTTCAAAATTATTTCGTTTAACCACGTGAAAACTCAACAAAGTCTCATTGGCAAGAGTGACCTGGCGCTTTAGTCTGACAGTAGGGGGCGATGTTTGCTATGTATCAACCCGATTGAGTAATTTGTGGATAAATAAAAAAAATTGGACCCTGATAGCAACATAAAACACCATCATACACCATCACGCCATAACCATCAAGTAGCCAAAAAACATCCCACTGCATAACCACCATGCTACCAATAGTACTAATCCATAAAAAGTTAAAGCATATAAGCAGAATCCATTGTTTGTCTCCACATGTAAACTTCATTTTACTTTTTTTATTTTACCAGGTAAAGCCCACTGAGCTCTGTAGCTCTTTGTCAGAAGCCACCTGGCCACCAATGATAGCCCAACGAAGTGGCTTGTCGCGTGGAAATACATAGCAGCCAAATACTCAACACGCATGTTTAAACACCAGCATTTGTTTGAACAAGCAAATTGTGGACAGGATTTGAACTTCTGGGTCTCATCAGCAGAGTCACGATTGTGAAAGAAAATACCACTGGGAAAGCCAATAAATAGACCGATGGACACAAACGTATTCAAAGTTATATGTGGTAACACGGAACGCAGTTCTGCTTACACTTGTTTTTTACTGAAGAAGTTTAAACAAAATTAAATTCATTTAATAAGGACAATACAATTCTTGGATTTGGGGTTGGCCTTTACACTTGTATATTAAGGCCATTTTTAATAATTGTCACAAACCCATATCTTAACACTTCAGGTGATCATAAAACACTTGCACAATACCACGCCTATTTGTCAGACTAATACACAAATGTTAACAATCCTTGGGAACAAAAATGTTCCACCAAGAGTGTGTCCACCAATGTACAACACACACAGCTGCATGTATATATTAAGCATACAATGACATCACCATACATGGGTTATTCTATATGGTTATTATACACCCTTGTGCATGCAGTGTTATTGGTTGTCCTGGAAACGTGTTGTGATTCGATATTCACGTGTGCTTCTACAGTACATACGAATTAATCACAACATAGAACCAAAGCCTGAGACCCAGACTCACATAGGCATCCACAGACTCACGTAAAAGTATTGTGATTCTGAGTTCATGGCTTGGTTCTAGTACATGTGTAGTGGGTTCGATTTAGGTGCACACACACACAGCTTGGAGGCAACACTATTTATTAGAACAGTAAATAATATAATACTGTACATAAGGTGGTGACCACCTTCCTCAACTCACTAACACTCTGGAACACTGTACAGCGTGACCAAGGCAGGCAACGGGCTGCCTGGTCACGGGGACTTGAGGACCAATGATGGCGTCTTCACTTCGGGGTTGAACAGCCCCGCTCTCCGTTCACACCCCGCTTATAACCGTCCTATGTCGCTACACATGTGTAGTGAGTTCAACTGAGTCGCAGACGTTCTTTAAAGGCAACACTTTTATTGTAACATCAACCCATTAACACAAAGGGGTAACTTGCTCCTTCACCAGATTCAGCCTCGGGTGGTAACCACCCAGCTAACTATACGTAGGAGTTACAGCTACGAAGGGTCAGACCCTCACTCAGGTCTCCGACCACGTGTTGATGCCTCGTAGAGCTTGCAGCTTGTAGACGTGGAGCTACCAGCTTCTAGAACCCGGTCCCTCCCAGGGACCCACCTTATATCCCCTCGGGTCGGGGCCGCTCCGCCCTTGGCCTCGCCCGCCTTCTCGAGCTTTCTAGCTCCCTCTCGATCCCTCTCGAGAGCTCTCCCCAGACACGTGATCACCCTCTAGCCCCCCCACCTGAGGCCCTCTCTGTGGACACTCCGGATCACATGTCTACGGGGTCAACCAGAGTGCTATGGCCCGGGGCAACCCTGCCCCCGTACGCGATGACAGTGCATCGCACGCCGTGCTGTGCTAAAGCCGGCCTCACACAGCAACCCACCCGGTGCTGTCCACGATGTAGCGCCATCGCACGCCACGGCCCTCTCGGGCCGGCACCATACAGTGACACCCCCGATGTCACTACACATGTGCAGTACTCTGTACAGAAGCCCATAGACTCACACAGAGATTCACAGACTCACACGTAACGTGTTGTGTGATTTTAAGTTTGTGTGTGTGGTGCTATGTTCAATTTTGCTTTTTATTCCCCCAGTGTTTCGAGCCTGTTTAATACCGCGCGATGTTAAATAATTTAATATAAGATGACGGTGTCTTACCATGAGACTGTGCTTGTCATCTATGGTCCCTCGGCCGTAGATGTAGCCTTGGTGAATCTCTCCAGAAAAGGGCGGCACGTCCCATCCTTAATGAGAAATTGTACAAACTGTTCAGTAATTTAATGACTTCGAGTGAGTTGTTGAATAGCGTGTTTACTGTGCAGAAGCTTAACATGTTAAGCTTGATTGATGGGTGATGTATTCCCCCAGTGACGCCTTGAACCCAAGCACACCTACAAACTGTACTGGCAGTCCAAAAATAAAGCAATGCTTCGTCCAGATAGCAGCCTATAGAGGATTTAATGGCAGACAATTAACAAGAACTGCTTACGGATATAAACATACACCGTAATGCAATTATTTCCAATATACCCTGCTACCTGTGCTCCGACAATAACCTCAACACAGTAGTATTCGTGTACACATTTTGTTTTCAATGGCGAATAACGGCACAAAAAACCTACAACTGTACAGTAATATGTGCGAAGTAATTTTTTTTGTATTTGGCAGGCATGCAGGGGTCAATTATAAACGCACTGCGAACTGTGCAATGATTCTATCTTCAGATAAAAGCACGTGATAATGGATGGACGCTTAACTAACACACGGGTAACATGCACCATTGACGACGGGGCATGCGTGGGATTGTTTCACAGGAGGAGTGCCGGGGGAGGGGGCTGCTGGCAGGATGCAGATTGAAGCAGCCCTTGCCAATGTGCCCCGAACAATATCATCACCTTGGTTCTTTCGGAAAAATTCACGTAGAAAAGAAATAATAAAATAATAAAAATTTAACAATCAAATTCTCACGACGTTTCGGCCACAACGCAAGCAGCCGTCCTCATGTGAAGAAACGGAGCTGCTAGGGGCAGGAGGCAGAAAGACAGCTCTGTTTCTTCACCTGATGACGGCTGCTTGCGTTGTGGCCGAAACGTCGTTATAATTTATTATATTATGTTTTATTTTTATTATTTCCCTTCTACGTGACTTTACCGAAAGAACCAAGAATATAATATCGTCCCTGTTGCGCTGCAACATCTCAAGACCACCGATGTGGGCAATTTTAGTTTATTTTGTTTTCCATAATTTGTTGGGAGAATTTTTACATCAAATAATTTGGTCAATGTAACTCCTCTCAAATGATCTGGCGGACACCAGTCATCGCCAGACCTGCTTGTTGCTTAACCGGTGAACATTCTGCTCCGTGGGAAATTCCAAAGTCACTTTGGTCTTGAGATCACCCTTACCCCGCGGTTCAAACCACCGTAGTTTTTAACAACGAGAAACCACATCCTCATGTAAATACTGCACGTAAAAAACTGTTTTGCTTGCAGGAAAACAAAGGGCGCACACATTATGAGTCTTGCAGATTGAAATACACACATGCCATATTCCCAGCCAACTAAAAATATGCAAATACCTCCCAAGGCTGCAAACGTACTTTGTTAGCAGGCTAGCCTGACGCTCTAGTCGTGGTCTGACTGCCTCCAAAATCAAAGTTTGCCACTTTAAACCCACACCCTATTCATTGAGAATGAGCCTCACATACAGTGAGGGAAAAAAGTATTTGATCCCCTGCTGATTTTGTACGTTTGCCCACTGACAAAGAAATTATCAGTCTATAATTTTAATGGTAGGTTTATTTGAACAGTGAGAGACAGAATAACAACATAAAAATCCAGAAAAACGCATGTCAAAAATGTTATAAATTGATTTGCATTTTAATGAGGGAAATAAGTATTTGACCCCTTCTCAATCAGAAAGATTTCTGGCTCCCAGGTGTCTTTTATACAGGTAACAAGCTGATATTAGGAGCACACTCTTAAAGGGAGTGCTCCTAATCTCAGCTTGTTACCTGTATAAAAGACACCTGTCCACAGAAGCAATCAATCAATCAGATTCCAAACTCTCCACCATGGCCAAGACCAAAGAGCTCTCCAAGGATGTCAGGGACAAGATTGTAGACCTACACAAGGCTGGAATGGGCTACAAGACCATTGCCAAGCAGCTCGGTGAGAAGGTGACAACAGTTGGTACGATTAGTCGCAAAAGGAAGAAACACAAAAGAACTTTCAATCTCCCTCGGCCTGGGGCTCCATGCAAGATCTCACCTCGTGGAGTTGCAATGATCATGAGAACGGTGAAGAATCAGCCCAGAACTACACGGGAGAATCTTGTCAATGATCTCAAGGCAGCTGGGACCATAGTCAAAAAGCAAACAATTGGTAACACACTACGCCGTATAGGACTGAAATCCTGCAGCGCCCGCAAGGTCCCCCTGCTCAAGAAAGCACATATACATGCCCGTCTGAAGTTTGCCAATGAACATCTGAATGATTCAGAGGACAACTGGGTGAAAGTGTTGTGGTCAGATGAGACCAAAATGGAGCTCTTTGGCATCAACTCAACTCGCCGTGTTTGGAGAAGGAGGAATGCTGCCTATGACCCCAAGAACACCATCCCCACCATCACACATGGAGGTGGAAACATTATGCTTTGGGGGTGTTTTTCTGCTAAGGGGACAGGACAACTTCACCGCATCAAAGAGACGATGGACAGGGCCATGTACCGTCAAATCTTGGGTGAGAGAACCTCCTTCCCTCAGCCAGGGCATTGAAAATAGGTCGTGGATGGGTATTCCAGCATGACAATGACCCAAAACACACGGCCAAGGCAACAAAAGGAAAGGCTCAAGAAGAAGCACATTAAGGTCCTGGAGTGGCCTAACCAGTCTCCAGACCTTAATCCCATAGACAATTTGTGGAGGGAGTTGAAGGTTCGAGTTGCCAAACGTCAGTCTAGAAACCTTCATGACTTGGAGAAGATCTGCAAAGAGGAGTGGGACAAAATCCCTCCTGAGATGTGTGCAAACCTGGTGGCCAACTACAAGAAACGTCTGACCTCTGTGATTGCCAACAAGGGTTTTGCCACCAAGTACTAAGTCATGTTTTGCAGAGGGGTCAAATACTTATTTCCCTCATTAAAATGCAAATCAATTTAAAACATTTTGGATTTTTTTTATTATTCTGTCTCTCACTGTTCAAATAAACCTACCATTAAAATTATAGACTGATAATTTCTTTGTCAGTGGGCAAACGTACAAAATCAGCAGGGGATCAAATACTTTTTCCCTCACTGTATTTTGGGTGTATAGCAAACCCTTGTTCGACACATATGGGGCTCTGGCCTTGCCGAATTATCCAATATTCCAAATGATGTACAATGGTACTCCTCACCATACAGTGACATCCCTGATGTCACTACACATATATTAATGAATACGTATATTGTATAGTATTGTTGTCGCTTAACTTACCTTCAATAATGATAAACATACACATTTAAAAGTCCAATATCAACAAATAAATTAATTGCTTAGTACATGACATTATTTAAACTCACCTTTAATTATGGCACTTCTTTTTCACTTAGGGGCCATGGTTAATGGTAATAATGTACGTCATATAATTCAACATAGACGTATAGGGGTAATGGGAGTGGGGGCTACATGTGAAGAGTGCTTTCAGTACCATAGTCTGGAGCGGGCACGACATCCAGGTGGGCAGTCAGCATGTAGGGCGTCCGCCCACCATCAGCGCCACGTACCGTCAGCAGGTGGCTGAAGTTGGCCACCAGGTCGTGGGTCACCAGCTCTGACTCGAACACCGCTGGGAATTCTGCAAAGTGAGAGCAGCATCCACAATGACGAGATGGTAACTACCTTGCCTGGTATACAAGTCGTGTATATTTGGAGTTTGCATGTTCTCCCCATGGTTCGCGTGGATTTCTCTCTGGGTCCTCTGCTTTTTCCCACATTTGGCTGCGATACATTTCAACACGATACACCACTTCGTTGAGCTATAATTTGTGGCCAGGTCGCTTCTGAAAAAAAGCTGTATAGCTCAGTCGGCCTTACGTGGTAAAATAAAAAAAAAACAACTTTTCGTTTAGTTTACAGCTCTTTGTCAATCCACGACTGGGTGAGGGCCTACCCATGCCGTGCCAGTCGTGGAGGTTGTTTGACCTCAGGGATTTATTTAATCCGGATCTGTCTGGGTCCGAAATCAGGATATATTCCCACTCTGTGCACACCACATCCCAGTATACCTATTGCTATGACTGTGGCTACTAGCTATACCCCACTTCCAGATATAACAGCAACTTGGATACTTTTTAGTGAGAAATTAATCCATGACCATACTTCATTTTACGTTGGTCAGTGAGAGATGAGCGAAACGAGGCCCAACATTGGTTCTTCAGACACTTGACACTGATGCTAGCTGTAGCTGGGAATCGATCACAAGTCACTGGGTCCATAATTACAATGCGAAAGAACTTGAATATACATTATTTTAAATTATCTTAAAATAATAATGAATAGCTTTATCAACCGGATGCTTGATGACAGCAAGGGGGCTGTTTGAACAAAATTCATTATGCTGGTTGGTGCAGATTCACACTGCAACACTTTACTACAACCACGGTTACCATTTAGATTTGCCTTTCATTTTAGTTGTCATGGCATTGACTAAACATGTCTTTAGACTGCCTATCACCTGGCTACTAAATACAATAGAGTACCCGTAGGTTATCAAGTACAAGCAACAAATAGTAGCTATGACGCAATAATCAGTATAGCATTTCGTAAGACGGGCCTACAAGGACAACATTTTCCTGTGCATGAAATTTGCGCAAGGTAAATGACTGGACTGGTTCAGTGCAGTTATCACTCACCCGCTAGCCTACGTTGTTCAATGAGAAGCAGAGTGTGTGACACCCAGAAGTTATAAACCGTGTTTAATATAACTTTAGATGAAAAGCTTTAGGCTCTATTGCTGTAAATTTGTTTACGTGCAAATTTTTTTTTGTCTAGCTTAGTGAGAAATCAAGAGACCAAGTCTCATTTTCAAGAGTGACGTTGGTAAATAAAGTGACAAAAGCAAAATAAAGTACAGCAGTGAAGCATGTAGCAATCAAAACACAATTCTCGTGAGAAATATTGCACGCACATAAATGAATGTTCAAACTAAATATTCCCCTGCAACGCTAAGTTGAAACGAGATTCGAAGCTTTCGTGACTGCAGGAATTACTCTCTGGTTCTTTCGGTAAAGTCACATAGAAAGAAAAATAATTATATAATAGAATATGACGCTTCGATTGCAACACAAGCAACCGTCATCAGGTAAGAATGAATGAGAATACAAACCTAGTAAACTTAGAAATATAATGCAATACAACACAGAGAGTCGGCTAAATCAACAGTCAACACCCCACCTGGTTGATTACGTTCTTCCAAAGATTGCTAAATTTGAGAGAGAGACAAAACATAGACACGGAGACACACAGACAGACACACAAGCAGAGAGAGACTCACACAGAAACAGAGAGAGACACACACATAGGCACACAGAAAGACAACGTCTCTGTGTCGAGGCTTTAAATAGAGAGGGGGGGGGGGGCAGAGGGGGAGTTGTGTGGAATTACTGCCCATAGGGGACGGAGTAGAGAATGGACTTATAAACAAGCACGGTAGAAAGCAAATTTAGTAAAATTAGGAAGTGTAATGTAATGCAACACAGAGAGTCGGTTAGCACACAGTTAACGCATAGCCTGGTTGATTACGTTCTTCAGATTCATCTTCAAAATAAAGTTCGGCATTAAACAGTTATAGGGTGACTAATATGTAAATGGAAAACATTTATTTGTCAATAACACTGCCTTAAAATTTAAAAAAATTGTGCACCCCTGCCAATTCATCATCACTAAATACTGTATGTTGTTTAATATCTAAACAGGCGACATATGTCAACTATTCATTCTAATCTATAATATGGTAATATGATCAGGACCTAAATGTCTATGGTGAGGTCTGCAAGCCACGAGAGGTCTTCCGAGTTTGTGTAGTTTTGCTATTCCTCAGTTGAAGGAGCAGAGACTACTGTCGTTTATTATATCGTCCACAGTTTGGGTTGCAAGACCATTCGCACTGTGGCTTGTATTTATAACACGTAGGGTTATTATCCAAAATAAAGGTTTTATTTGGGTTAGATCGCGTAAATATAAATGTCTTTAAACGAGCCACCATCCAACACAGCCAATTAGTAGGGTTGTCATGTAAACAAAACGTGCCAATTGGTTACTACTTCAGAAAACTATCATGTTTGAGGGTAAACCCAAAACATTTAACATTTCGAGTACGACGTTTAGCTTGTGATAACAACCAGCTTCATCAGGCGATAGCCAGAATTATGAAGAAATCTTGGGTTTCTGGACTGGTTCAATCCTGAATTCTGACTGTCGCCTGATGAAGCGTACATCGGTGTACGGTATTTGTTTTTACCCCCCACGCATGTCTATTCAAATTGAATGGTGCACTTTGAGAAGTGTGCCGTACAAGTTACTTTTCATTGGTGCCAACTGACAATGACAAGGTGATACGCGTGAAATTTGAACCAGTCCACCCGCTTCCCCAATCTGCACCGACCAGCGTGAAGTTTGGTCAAACAACCATCATGAACGACACATCTTGGGGGAGGCTTTCATTCGACAGTGGATGGAGAAATGGATGTTTTTGACAAGTCAGAACACATCAGCCTCGTATCTACCAGGGGAAGCATTCAAAATATTTTCCCTGAATTATATCCCGATTGTGCGTTCGGCATCATGTCATGGGATGCAGAATATATTTGGAAATCTCACAGAGCAGTGCAACACTTCGTGTCGGCAAAAGGTCTCACAGAACTACTGAATTCCCTTTAAGTGACCTCTGGTCCTCACTGTAGGTGGCAGCACTTTCCCAAACACCCTGCCGCTGACAGGAATGTTCACTGTATGTCAAATTGATATGCTGAACTGTCAAAGCGGGAATTTATCTAAATTAAGTGCATAGCCAAATTAGCGGTTGTTTTTGTGAAGTTATTAGTCACCGGGTTGGACCCATAAACTACACTCCAAAATTTCGATTTAAAGCTTTCGTGACTGCAATGATTCATCTTCTTTGGTTCTTTCGGTAAAGTCACGTAGAATGAGAATAAAATAATAAATTGATAAAATAATAACATATAGAGTAGAAGAGGGTGAGCGAGTGTGGGGCGTGTGGGGGGTGGTGGTGGACCCCTGTGTGCGGCCTCGTCACCCTCGCGCAGCAGCCTGCCGAACCGCAGCAGCGCCACCTCGTCCGCTGCGCCGGGACCCTCTCGGGAGACCGTGGGCACGCGCACGGCCGCGCGCAGCCTCGCGCACGCGCGCGCCTCGCGCTTCCCGCCAAGCGCCTCGCGCTTCCCGCCAAGCGCCTCGAGCGCCTCGCGCTTCCCGCCAAGCGCCTCGAGCGCCTCGCGCTTCCCGCCAAGCGCCTCGAGCGCCTCGCGCTTCCCGCCAAGCGGCTCGAGCGCGAGGCGAGGCGCCGAGCCGAGGCGGATGTCCCCGCCCGCCGCGCGCCCTCCCCCGCCCGCCTCCCACAGGAGCGCGCGCGCCGCCACGAGCGCGGCGAGCAGCGCGGCGGCCGCGGCGAGCAGAGTCCGAGCACGGGCCATGGCTGGGCGGGCGGGCGGGCGGGCTGGGACAGCAGCAGCCGGTCACGCTGGAGCGGGGAGGGGTTGTTGTTGGTGGTGGGGCCTGCGGAGGGTCGCGCCGGGGGAGGGTGTGTGGGGGAGAGGGGCAGCGACAGGTCACCGAGGGGGTAGGGGTGGGTGGTGGCCGCTGCGAGGTCACTCCTCGCTTGGACTCGCCAATCGCCGCGATCTAACCCCTAAAAACCTCTAGAATGGATATTGCTCGCGAAAGCCTACGTGTTAAACTGATAGTTTTAACTAGTAAAGGGACCGGAACCCTCGCCTCTCTGGGCGTGTTGACGAGGAGAGTGTCCACTACACGCGTGTCACAGATGGGGCATGAGGGTCAGCACTTTTCAAACCGAGGACAAAATCCAGATTTTCACGAACGCATTTGTTAATACGCTGCTGAAGTCCTCCCTACGCCGTGTGGGGTTGTGGGGGGGTTCATCTGGCCAGACTTAATGGTTCTTGGTGTGGGATGGTGAAGGCGGGGTGGCATAGAAGTACAGTACAATAATGGATTTAGCTAATCTGTCCACAACGTTGACCCACAAGCTATTGCATCTGTTATTACACATGGGGGGTCATGCACCAAGCACTATGCAAGCTCAGTTCGGCTTAGTATCCAAGATTGGGCTCATTCTGGGTGAACTAAAAAACATTTTTGTATTGTACCAGGTAAGGCCCACCGAGGTATAGAGCTCTTTGTAAAGAAGCGACCTGGGCACAAATGATAGCTCAACAAAGTGGCTTATCGTGTGGGAATTTATAACTGCCAAATCCTCTAAATGCATGATTCTAAACGTGGAGGGAAAAACCAGAGGACCCAGAGAAAAATCCACGCAACCACGGGGAGAGAGACACGCAAACTAAATATACAGCAGCAGGCGTCAGGGTCGGGATGGAACCCACAACCTCCTGTATACCAGGCGAGGTAGTTAACATCTTGCCACCGTGGTGCCCTAGGAGTGGTTACAAAACGAGTTACAGTTCCCTGGATAATTTATTAAAAAATGACTTCACCCCACAGTAGATTAACACAAGGGGCTGTAAAGTTATCCATTTCCAAGCAGTGATACCGCTTGCATCACGCATCTCGCAACCTGCATTTCTAATAAATAAAAATTCAGTTGCTTCTTGTATAAATCATAAAATGTACTAGTACAACCGTATTACCATACAATCACCATGCAATTAAACATGCATATATCGTATTTGGAATTAGAACACCAACAAATGACTCCACAATGCCACGAAACAATACGTGTTTAACCTGGTGAGAGTTGGCAGAGCAGGAGACAGTGGCCGAGGCAGCCCTGTCTGTCGGGTTGGCAGTCCGCTTCTGCCACGTGCAGAGCCAGTGCAGACAAAGTGACGTGCCGGAGTTTGGACTTCGGACTGCCCTTTAGGCAGTGCCGGCCTTCAGATATTGCAGAACAAAGATCAGAATCCAAGGAGAACACGCGGTGTTGGGCCACTGCATGCTGTTGGCATGACACCGCTACCCACATCTATTACATTTCCATGACCCGCAGATCCCGAGTTGACCCCCCAGTACCATTGTGTACGTGGTTTTAGGCAGCTGGAGTTGGCTGCCAGAGCCCAAATTCTCAGGGGCCGATATCCCTTCACGGGCCTACCTGGATTTCCTCCGTCGATGGTGAGATGTAAACTACCTCGCCTGGTATACATGACGTCATGGGTTCAATCCTGACCCTGACGCCTGCTGTCTATTTGGAGTTTGCATGTCTCCCCATGGTCGCGTGGATTTTTCTCTGGGTCTTCCGGTTTTTCCCTCCACATTTAGAAACATGAGTTTATAGTATTTGGCTACTGTAAATTTCCACGTGATAAGCCCTTCGTTGAGCTATCAATTATGGCCAGATTGCTTCTGAAAATTTTCTATATGGTTAAGTGGGCCTTGGACAAATAAAAATAAAAAAATATTTGAAATACTCATACTGTTTTGGGTCTTTCGGTAAAGCCACGTAGATAGAAAAATAATAAATAAAAATATGACGTTTCGATCGCAACACAAGCAATCGTCATCAAGTGAAAAAATCTAGCGGGAGAGCTGCTGAGGCAGGAAAAAATATAGTGGGAGGGTTCCTAAAGCAGGATGTTATATAGGCTTGAGATGGGTGTAGCCCAAGGGTAAGTGGGCGGGGCTAGAGATGGAATTTGTGTGTAAATGTCAGATCGGAGAGCTGATATACCTCTACTACGAAGCTGTGGAGGTGGCAATTGTATTGTGAGAGATTAGCATGTCATTGTAAGAGAACCACCACGACGGTGGCTGTTAGTGAGACATTTAGCCTGTTAAAAAACGAGAGCCACCGCAACATCGAGGGAAAGGAGCAGCGGTGGCTGTGATGTTTCCATCCTACCTGCCGTTGTTAGCAGTTACCAGGTTAAATGTCTTTACATTAACAGTCTAAATGTCTCACTAACACAGCCACCGCTGCTCCTTTCCCTCAATGTGGTGGTGGCTTTCGTTTTTTTAACAGGCTAAATGTCTAACACAGCCACCGTTGCGGTGGTTCTCTTACATTGACATGCTAATCTCTCACAATACAATGGCCACCTCCACAGCTTCGTAGTCGTGGAGGTATATCAACTCTTCGATCTTACATTTACACGCAAATTCCATCTCTAGCCCCGCCCACTTACCCTTGGGCTACAGCCATCTCAAACTCATATAACTTCCTGCTTTAGCAGCTCTCCCACTATATTTTTTCCTGCCTCAGCAGCTCTCCCGCTATATTTTTTCACCTGATGACGATTGCTTGTGTTGCGATTGAAACGTGATGTTTTTATGTTTTATTATTTTTCTATCTACGTGGCTTTACCGAAAGACCCAAAGAGTATATATTCCTGCAGTCACGACAGCTTTAAGTCGAGTTTAAATACTCGTCCGGTGGAAATGGGGCACATGGAAAAGCGGCTTAACTGCTGAAATCAGATTTCCATAATTTCTGGGGTTTCTCTGTAACCCAAGATATGAATTGCCATGCTGTGTTATTAAACAGCAGAGGCACACACATGCACATGAGTTCGGGATGAATGCTGAAAACATAACGTATAAACACAATAATTACAAACCATTCTCTTTATTTAAAGACCTCACAGATCAGTTCCACCACTTTTATCCAGTTGCTTCACAGATTCTGCTACATTTTGCATTACTGGTTACGAGTAAGGCTAATGGTGTTTTATGTCACGGTAATTCTTGGTGAAATTCATGGCCAAATTATGTGTGGGGGGGGGGGACCACTATTTCATGAAAATTTTCGAGTGAGTAGCCGAATATAGCATACATCACCAGCCATTTCTAATATTTCACAGAATGTATTCGAATGCCCAATTTCTGTGACATCCATGAACTCTGACAAATGGTAGCCTTAGTTATGAGTGGGCCCAGAGCCGTCCTGAAGTGGAATGTGATGGTAAACACAAGTGTTTCTGGGGTTGGCACTGCCACGACGGAGCCTGGCACTTTTTTTAAGCGTGCCACCCCCCACCCCCAGACCATGGTCTGAGAACTCATGATGACATTGGCCAGCTCATGATCGCATTGGCCAATTCTTGATGACAGTCGTTAACTCATGATGACATTGGCCAGCTCATGATCGCATTGGCCAATTCTTGATGACAGTCGTTAACTCATGATGATATTGGCCAACTCATGATGACATTGGTCAGCTCATGATGACATTGGCCAGCTCATGATGACATTGGCCAGCTCATGATGACACTGGCCAGCTCATGATGACATTGGCCAGCTCATGATGATATTGGCCAGCTCATAATATTGGCCAACTCATGTGGACATTGGCCAGCTCATGATGACATTTACCTGCTCTTGATGCAGTGGGAACATGCAATTCCAGCACGGGCAGAGTCCGGGCGCTGTTTAACTTTGAGGAAACAAATCGAGGGAGAGGCCCTGTTCCTGGCTGACGGTATAGGTTGTATGTATGGACATTAAACTTCTTTGGCACCGTAAGTAGCCAACCATGCTAATTGGAGGTGCAGAAGGACAACAAACTTCACACAATGAGTTTTCAATCTCATTTCTTGGATGAGAGTTGAGCATGTGAATTTGTTTCAAGAAGAACACGAGGAACATGGAGGATGCATCCCCTCCCCCCTCATGTCCTGGTCGACTGGTATTTAATCAACCTTTATTGATAAACACTGCCTTTACTATTTGCAATTCGTGTCGTCCTTGTTATCTATTTCACCCTTACCATTTGTTTCGCATCACTCACACAACTTTACGTACAAAAATATTTCCACTTTAAACACATTTTTCAACAGTTAAAAAAAACGTTAGGCAAAAAACTTCTGTGTTCTGTCTATGCCAATGAAACTCCATTGCTATACCCAGTTTTTAAACGTAACATATAAATGGAACGCATTTAAATATGTGCACTCAATCCACGTGCATCATGAACACTTTTGCAAATAGAATCCACAAATTCACAAAATTCATTCCGTGCAGATGAAGAGTACACACAATCGGTACGCTCGGTCATTGTGTTCAGTAGGGAAACTTGCGTTAATGCGCAATGGCATTTCTTTTATCACAGCGTCACCAGGAGAAGACAATTCGCGAGCAGTATGTAGATATCAAGCCCTTATATCATCCACTTTATATAACTTCTACGCAATATATACAATTGACAGTACAGCCCTCACATAAACTTCCCCCCTGACTTGACTAACCGCCACGGATCGGTGCAGTGAAGTACGGTCAAATTGAGGCCTATGAGATCCCTCATCCAGCAGCGGAATGACAACAGCGCTGCACGTGTACCAGTACAAGAGAAACATAAAGAAGACTCAGATTAACATAACACACTACCTTGTATACACTCGCAGGGACCCTTGGCCCAAAAAAGCTCGTGGACTTTTATCGTCGCAAAAAATATATACAGGAACGATTCAGATATGCCTCTTGTGTCTTGTACCAAGTGTGAACGTTTGGCTGATGCATGGTGGCAAACGTGCCCATGCTGTACCCCGGAGGCGGGGGAAGCTATCATCAATGCATCTTGCTCCACCGTCAAAGTGGAGGAGGAGGAGCAGCGGAGAGAGTTTTGGCCGGCGAGTTGCCACAGACAGAACGCGTCAGCCGGCATCGAGGGCAGCATCAGCTGGCGTCGGGCAGCTTGCTCAGCGGGAAGGCGACGGCGACATCGTAGGTGGGTGGCGGGGTGAGCGGCTCCACCACTATCCTCTCCTCCCGCGCATTCGCCTCCTCCCCCGGCTGGTTGAGCGTCTTGCGGTGGTTCGCCGCCACCTCCGACTTGATCCTGCGGATCTTGCCGTGGTCGCCCGTCGAGGCGTTGCCCCCGGGGTGCGGGTCACGGGGGTCGCCCGTGGGGGCCGAGAGGTTCTCCGTGGAGGTGGCGATGTCGTACGACGGCAGATAGACGTCATCTCCCGTAGCGTCGCTGGAGCTCTGGTCAAAGGCGATCGCGTTCACCACCTCCTCGTAGCGCGGAGCGCGGAACAGAGAGCCGTCCCTGCGAAGGATGAATGGGGTCGCGTTGACGTATCACGTGGATGCGTCCCCGACGCACGTCTTATCTTACTTTAACTATAATTTTTACAATTTGTTATATGTTACCAGGTAAGGCCCACTGAGCTATGTAGCTCTCTTTCAGAAGCGATCTGACCACAAATGATAGCTCGACGAAGTGGCTTATCACGTGGGCATTTATAGCACGTGATGTTGATTCTAAATTATTTTCTTATTTATTTAGCGCCTTCACTACGGTGCTGAACAAAGAATTATCAATTTGTATGTTGAAATGGCGTGATGAGATGAGTTCATGAGGATGGCAGTGCACGATGAATATGATTATGCATGAAATAAACGATAATGAAAGTGACGGTGAGTGGTTAATGATAATAAGTGAGTGATGATGAATGGGTAGGCAAGTTGGGAAGACTGATGGTGTTAACCCTTTCCCGTTCCGATGACGTAGGTGAACCGGAAAAAAAAATGAAATAACTTTATCGGTACCGAGGCTCCCACAAGGCCATATAGGAGGGCGTATGGCACAGTTTGGCACCAGCTATCGTAGAGTGCGGTCGTGTTGCTACAGTTCTCTGTGGTGAGTACAATGTTTCTTTAAAAACAACGGCGTTACTACGCCTCTCTAAATAAAATTAACACTGAACTGCTTGCATGTTCCGAGATTCAGCGGTAAACGGGACACCACCCACCCTGCAACTTGCAGACATCTCGGAGCGGGAAAGGGTTAATGATGAGAGTGGGGGGGGAAGAGGAGTTTGTGTGAATCAGGGACAATAAGTGAGCTTTAAGGAAACAATGAAAAAAGTAGACATTGCAAAAAAGGCAATGATGTTTTATCTAGGGTGCCACGGTGGCAAGATCTTAACTACATCGCATGGTATACAGGAGGGCATGGGTTCGATCCCGACCCTGGCGCCTGTATATTTGAAGTTTGCATGTTCACCCCATGGTCGTGTGGATTTTTCTCCAGGTCCTCCGGTTTTTCCCTCCACATTTAGAATCAACATGCGTTTAGAGTATTTGGCTGCTTTACATTTCTACATGATAAGCCACTTAATTGAGCTATCACTTGTGGCCAGGTCGCTTCTGAAAAACAGCTGTATAGCTCATTGGGCCTTACCTGGTAAACAAAGGATCTCGACCGACTGACTAAGTATTTAAAAAGCAGTATGAGCATCCGCAAGGGCAAACATACGTTATACAATAGTCCTGTGTTGTGCTGGTTTGTCTCCTAGTTTTGGCCAATGTGGTTGGTTCTCAATAGGTGATGTCCCTAATAGGAACACAACCCTCTACGACAGTTCTCTATATATTGGATCGTATTTGTGAGCGTTATCATACCCCCCCCACTACCCCCATGCCTGTTATGAGTGGAGGGCTAATTCGCGAAAGCTTTCAACCAGAGTTGAAAACTGCTAATAAAGTCGGCGCGCGCCATGTGTCAAGGTTTGGAGAGCCACTCCCTTCAACAAATGGCATGCTCACTTATGGAAAAAAAAAACAAATTTAAGATGCGATTCTCATCAAAAGTAACCGCTCAAAAGGGACTGCACTGTACCCATTTGATGGGTAATTCCAATAACATGTCGATACGTCGACAAAACACATTCCGTCTTCACGTCACATTTTTCCACCGGCGTCATTACAGCTTTGCAGATGGCCGCAAAGTGAGTGTGCATCAAACACCACGTTTACTCTAGATTTTAAGTTTTCGTGACTGCAGGGATCCATACTCTTTACTTCTTTCGGTAAAGTCACGTAGGTATAAAATTAATTAAATCACGACGTTTCGGGCGCAACACAAGCGTCCGTCATCAGGTGGGAGGAGAGATAGAATAGAATCTGTCTCTCCTCCCTGGCTCCGCCCCCCCTCTCTTATCTATAAAACCTCGATACAAGCACCCCTTTTTGCCCACTTCAGCCATTGTTTCTTGCTGTGGTTGTCCCACCTGATGACGGACGCTTGTGTTGTGCCCAAAAAGTCGTGATTTAATTGATTTTATTTTATACCTACGTGACTTTACCGAAGGAACCAAAGAGTACCACGTGTACTATTTGTCTCCTTACTGAATACTGTACCTTGTCTAGGAATTCTGCGAATCCAAACTCCGACCCGGATCTTACAACAACAACAACTTTAAGGTGTTTTCGATTTAAAGCTTTCGTGACTGCAATGATTCATCTTCTTTGGTTCTTTCGGTAAAGTCACGTAGAATGAGAATAAAATAATAAATTGATCAAATAAAATAACACAATAATATTCTCACGACGTTTCGGCCACAACACAAGCGGCCTTCACCTGTTATTGTGTTATTTTATTTTATCAATTTATTATTTTATTCTCATTCTACGTGACTTTACCGAAAGAACCAAAGAAGATGAACTTTAAGGTGGGTATTTGGATGAAATTTTAATGTACGTTTCCATTCAGCCATCACCGTCAGCCACGTTTCTATTCACCGCTGGGTGATGGCGTCCCAACGCAGTCGCCATCCGTCACCGTCTTGCGATGCCACAATCCATCTCACTGCCGCTGCTGCCCATGAGCTAATCCCTTTACAACCCTGTAGTTGCAATTCCATCACCCGGTCTCATCCACCGGCCCCATCTCGCGTTGATTTGTCCTGCCCAAGTCGACTTACTTACGTCTCTAACCTGCGTCTCTAGCTCACACACTCTCTAAGGATACGAGCCAAAGAGGGGTGGGAAACCCACCTTTGACCAATGATCTCTATTCGTGCTATGAAGAGGTCACAGGTTTTAGGCATGAAACAGGAAGGTCCTTATCCACATGCAAAAGGGGTGGCCCCAGAGCGGTTCAGCCATGCGCGATGAAGAAGGGTCATTTCCTGAAATGCCGCTTATTATATGCGTTTCCTTTTAAGGCCGCAGTGTTATTTACGAATGCGTTGACGTTCTTCATTATTGGTGATTGTGCACCACTGCCAATGTAGCATCGCCATGTAATTTCATTTTTATTTTTTGGAAAGATACGTTTCATCTTTAAAGATGACCGGGAACTGTCTTACGGAAAATGGTGTTGTGTAATAAGGTGGCAAGTCTACCGCAGAACATCTGGACTAAACTGTGCCAAAATTACTTTGCTTGCAGTTGTGCCAATGCTCCTCATACGAATGGGTTCCAGCAGGTCTAATCACACGTGTCCGAGGTTCCAGGTCTGAGCGAAACATATTGAGATTAATATTTGTCTTTACACGCATGCGCATACATAACACTGATAGAGACCCTCACTGACATAACCACAGCTACTTAGTGCATCAAGAGCTCATTAACAAAAATAAGTACCACTTTGCAGTAAGTAAATTGTGGGTATACTATGGATATGCTGGCCCCAGTCATAGGAATGTGGTATTTATAGTCTACATGTCATAGCAGTAACATAATCTGTGACTGAAGAATAACGCTTTTAATCAGTCAAGCAAGTCCATGTGATTTGTTGCTCGATTGAGCATTAATGCATTGCTCATCTACTGTTTACAGCCCTGAGCCAGTGGTGGACATTCCACGTTTCTATGGTGGAAGTAAGTCTATCCATTGGAACAACTATTGTTACCTTCTCCACAAAGTGGTGCTCTCATTTTATTGACGCCAGAGCCATAATGATAGGCCGAGTCAACCCCAAAACCAGAATTTGAAACTCGCACCCTTCTGATTGCGAGCCACGATCCTCTGCCACTGACCTGTCCATGATGACCCCACCGTCGGCGATCGCCTCCGCGCGCACCTCCGGGACCGGCGGCTGGCGGTGGCGGGCGACGCACACCGACCAGGTGATGCCGATCACCAGGAGGCAACCCCCCACCCCGCAGAACATCACCACGGTCCGCGTGGACGACTGGCCGATGGACGGCGTAGACGGCTGGTCGATGGAGGTGCCGTTCCAAATCCGGTCTGGGTTTTCCACCGCTCTTCAAGGACACGTGGGGGGACACAAGGCGGTGTAGGACATCACTCTGGGGCAGAATGTGCTGGTCGCTTATTCTCCTCTGCCATCCCAATATGGTCTCCCCCCAGAAACCCTACCTACCTTTTACCTACCAATTATTATTTCACCAGGTAAGGCCCACTGAGCTATGTAGCTCTTTTTCAGAAGCTGCCTGGCCACAAATTATAGCTAAACGAAGTGGCTTATCATCACGTGGAAATGTATAGGAGCCAAATACTCTAAAGGCAACATTTATAAATGTGGAGGGAAAAACCGGAGGACCCAGAGAAAAATCCAAGCTACCACGGGGAGAACACGCAAACTCCAAATATACAGCAGCAGGCGTCAGGGTCAGGATAGAACCCACGACCTCCGGCGTACCAGGCGAGGTAGTTAACACCTCATAGCCACCGCGGCTTGTAAAATAATCAAGTGGCCTTTAAACATCAATAAAATAAAGTATCGAAATCACAGACCTCTCAAGGACCCCCCCCCCGTCCCACGAAACAATCGTAAGGGCCATATTCCCCTGAAAAACGTCCATGTGAACAGCGTACGTGAGACGCGTTTTTTACGTGTGCACGCCAGTGCAGAATGTACACCATAATATAGTGACATTTTTTTTGGATGCTATTGATCGTGAACATCTACGTGTTAAACAGAATGTACCCGTTCGGTCCGGCGCCCCGTTACATAACCGCTCTCACCTCCAAGACAGCATGAGGATGCCAAGCATGAGGATGCCGATGCCCAGGGCCAGGGTTGCGTAACGAAGGCCAGAGCACTTCTCTTGAGACATCGCCAGCTTGTCTCTCGACCCCTTTGATCTACGGGGGGAAGGGGGAGAAAGTTGCAATAAAAACGAGGATTTAAACGCTCGCACGGGCTCCGGTGATGTAAAAAATAGCTGAAATCGCCGTGATCTTGTGTAACTCTGCAAAGAATCCCACGCTTGGAATGGGTTCACACTGAGAGGTGCACACGGCGATGTGAAACACATGCAGTTGACGACCAAGGCAAGTGGGATGTTTTTATTCTTATTTATTGATTGCAACATTTCACCTGGATAATCACCTAAGATGCAACGTCTCATTTGCAAGGATGGCCGAGGGGTGGCTGAGGGATGCGTAACATCGCAAACACGCAACGGCACCCACACAAAACACATGCAAATCTACGGCATACACAGTATACATTTACACAACCTTAAGTTGTGTAAGTCGGGCTCAAACCCACAACCTCCTCCATACCAGGCGAGGTAATTAACATCTCGCCACCGTGGAAATATTTCAACAGGCGTCAACCTCACTCATGCACACCACAACATGCAGCAAAACCCACTGTTGTACTATACTATGTGGCAGTGGCAACTGGTTTCTCTTCAGTCTGAGCCTTAAGTAAACTTAGTTCAACATTAGTAGCGAGTGATGCAGGATCAAGATTGGGGAGACAAAGGCGGTCGGGAGTTTGCAGCGCGACCCCACTGCCACGTGGAGTGTGGTTGGAGTGGCGCGTGCAGTTCCCCGTGCAGGCTGAGCGGGGCAAGTCTGCGGAGCTCGCTACGGTCCCACGCCGGGTGTGTGGGAGCTTCCAGGCCGCTGTGTCTGCGAGTCTGTAGCGCCGTGCGGCCAACAGGTGTCATCGGCCACGGCGGGGGGTTGCTCGTGCGCCGTGCAGCAAGGTCCGTCGTTGTACCGTACTAAGCTCCTGCGTCTATGCTCCCTGTCTTCACTCTGCCACGCTGACCAGCGCGATGAAATTGTGGTGAAAGTCACCCCCCCCCCCCACGACTCTGCAAACTGCATGGAGATGGTCCTCATTCAGCAGTGCTTTAACTCGAGAGCTATGCATGTACACACATGTACATTTACACACATGTACACACATGTACATTTACACACATGTACACACATGTACATTTACACACATGTACACACATGTACATGCTATGGTACAACATTCAGCTGGAGGAAGTGAGAACCAATCTGCGGAGACAGCGTGGGCGGGCAGGTCGGGTTCAAGGATTCGATGATGTCGAGGTGGCGGTGTCACCAGCAGAGCAACGTGGCGCCACGGCGAGATGTTAACGACCTCGCCCGGTACGCAGGAGGTCGTGGGTTCGATCCCAACTCTGACGCCTGCTGTAGATTTGGAGTTTGCAAGTTCTCTCTCCCCGTGGATTTTTCTCCGGGTTTTCTCTCCACATTTAGAATCAACGCGCATTTAAAAGTATTTGGCTGCTATACATTCCTACGCGATAAGCCACTTCGTTGACCTATCACTTTTGGCGAAGGTCGCTTCTGAAAAAGAGCTGTACGGGCGCCCCTCGGGTTAGGAACCTAATTCGTTCCCGAGGCCCGTTCTTAAGTCGAACGGTTCGTAAGTCGGATCACATCAATGCACCGTACTTAAATGATCAGCGTTATGAAATGTGTTCCGGTTCAACAAAAAGACAAGCATACACAGCGCTCATGAAGGCATGTAACACTGTAAAAAATGATGTGCAGTAAATAAACATAAAATAAAGTAACGTAAAGAGAAAACAAACTGTTTTATTTCACCTACATTGAGCCCTGATGCTATCTTGGGGCCAATGAGTCACCACAATTGCACACATACAAAGACCCCTCGTATAGCCCTAACATACTGTGGGGGCAAGTGCTGTTAGCGAGCAGCGCCTATGAAGACCGGCATGGCACACGAGGGGGTGGGTGGCTAGCACCACGCCCGGCCGCCTTTGTCTCCCCATTGACGACGTTTACACACCGCACCAGGTACTCACTTGAGGCTGAGTCGACCTGGAGGAGGCCTGGGTCCCATTCAGATAATCGTCAGCGGTGTTGATCGTGAGCGAGAATTGAACTTTGGTCGCCAGGTTGGTAGGACAGTTCGCGAGCCGTTGAACTATCGCTTCCCCCAATACCAGCACCCGCCATTCGCCACTAAGTGGCGGTCATGTCACCACGGCACCTGTGCCAGGCAAGGTGCACTTTGAGGCCACTTTCACACACACGCAAACACTCACTCATGACACCTCGCGGAAGATCACTCCTCGGTTCAATTTCGAGTTCGCGTTTTAAGTGAACATTGTTATTTTTTCATGGAAGCTGGTTCCTAAGTGCGCGCGTTCACCGGTCAAGGATTGCCTGTATATCTAAGTGGGCTTCACCTGGTAAAATTTCTAGTTTAATAGTCAAGTTATAGAACCTCCATGTTAAGTTATAGCACCTCCATGTTAAGTTCTATAACCTACACGTTAAGTTATAGAACCTCCATGTTAAGTTCTATAACCTCCACGTTAAGTTATAGAACCTCCATGTTAAGTTCTATAACCTACACATTAAGTTATAGAACCTCCATGTTAAGTTCTATAACCTACACGTTAAGTTATAGAACCTCCATGTTAAGTTCTATAACCTACACGTTAAGTTATAGAGCCTCCATGTTAAATGATAGAACCTACGTGTTAAGTTACAGAACTTACGCGTCAAGTTACAAAACCTACGCATTGTGCTATAGAACGTACTCACTAAGTTATCGAACGTATGCGATACGTCATTTGCATTTGAAGGCAAGTCCCAAACAGCACGGGCTGGGGATCGCAGTCACCCGCAATGCGAGCCAACTCGGTCCGTTGCACGCGCAAACCGAACTTACTCCGACTTTCCTCTCAACAGCCGATTGAATGCTGTGAAAGGGATGGCTCCCGTGTCTCACTGAGGTGGAGACTGTCCACATTGTGTTATGAGTGTCCACATTGTGTAATGAGTGTTAACATTGTGTAATGAGTGTTAACATTGTGTAATGAGTGTTAACATTGTGTAATGAGTGTTAACATTGTGTAATGAGTGTTAACATTGTGTAATGAGTGTTAACATTGTGTAATGAGTGTTAACATTGTGTAATGAGTGTTAACATTGTGTAATGAGTGTTAACATTGTGTAATGAGTGTTAACATTGTGTAATGAGTGTTAACATTGTGTAATGAGTGTTAACATTGTGTAATGAGTGTTAACATTGTGTCATGAGTGTTAACATTGTGTAATGAGTGTTAACATTGTGTAATGAGTGTTAACATTGTGTAATGAGTGTTAACATTGTGTAATGAGTGTTAACATTGTGTAATGAGTGTTAACATTGTGTAATGAGTGTTAACATTGTGTAATGAGTGTTAACATTGTGTAATGAGTGTTAACATTGTGTAATGAGTGTTAACATTGTGTAATGAGTGTTAACATTGTGTAATGAGTGTTAACATTGTGTCATGAGTGTTAACATTGTGTAATGAGTGTTAACATTGTGTAATGAGTGTTAACATTGTGTAATGAGTGTTAACATTGTGTAATGAGTGTTAACATTGTGTAATGAGTGTTAACATTGTGTAATGAGTGTTAACATTGTGTAATGAGTGTTAACATTGTGTAATGAGTGTTAACATTGTGTAATGAGTGTTAACATTGTGTAATGAGTGTTAACATTGTGTAATGAGTGTTAACATTGTGTAATGAGTGTTAACATTGTGTAATGAGTGTTAACATTGTGTAATGAGTGTTAACATTATGTAATGAGTGTTAACATTGTGTAATGAGTGTTAACATTGTGTAATGAGTGTTAACATTGTGTAATGAGTGTTAACATTGTGTAATGGGTGTTAACATTGTGTAATGGGTGTTAACATTGTGTAATGAGTGTTAACATTGTGTAATGAGTGTTAACATTGTGTAATGAGTGTTAACATTGTGTAATGAGTGTTAACATTGTGTAATGAGTGTTAACATTGTGTAATGAGTGTTAACATTGTGTAATGAGTGGTAACATTGTGTAATGAGTGTTAACATTGTGTAATGAGTGTTAACATTGTGTAATGAGTGTTAACATTGTGTAATGAGTGTTAACATTGTGTAATGAGTGTTAACATTGTGTAATGAGTGTTAACATTGTGTAATGAGTGTTAACATTGTGTAATGAGTGTTAACATTGTGTAATGAGTGTTAACATTGTGTAATGAGTGTTAACATTATGTAATGAGTGTTAACATTGTGTAATGAGTGTTAACATTATGTAATGAGTGTTAACATTGTGTAATGAGTGTTAACATTGTGTAATGAGTGTTAACATTGTGTAATGAGTGTTAACATTGTGTAATGAGTGTTAACATTGTGTAATGAGTGTTAACATTGTGTAATGAGTGTTAACATTGTGTAATGAGTGTTAACATTGTGTAATGAGTGTTAACATTGTGTAATGAGTGTTAACATTGTGTAATGAGTGTTAACATTGTGTAATGAGTGTTAACATTGTGTAATGAGTGTTAACATTGAGATTGGTCGGTGGAGTGATGTGCTGCTCACGAGCACTGGGATGGGGAGATGAGTGGAAGATTTGGAAATGGAAGTTGCGTTACCCCTTCAGGTTCAGCCTGTCACTCGTGGCGGTTCTGTGATGGATCGGCAGGGTGGCACAGCGTGCGTGTATCTACTTATGTACGTTGAACCTCTATCGTACCGTACGTAGCCAACGGTGCTAATCGGAGGTGCGGCGAGGGGGACAACTAACAAAAAAAAGGGTCAATACTCACGCCTTAGAGCAACAAATTCCTGGAGTTAGTACGTTCTCCCTCTGTTCTGCGTGGGTTTCTGTCTGGGTTTACACGTGGGTCTCTATGTGAGTGTCTGTGTGGGTTTCTGTCTGGGTTTACACGTGGGTCTCTATGTGAGTGTCTGTGTGGGTCTCTGTCTGGGTTTACACGTGGGTCTCTATGTGAGTGTCTGTGTGGGTTTCTATCTGGGTTTACACGTGGGTCTCTATGTGAGTGTCTGTGTGGGTT